TCCTCTCCTGTAAACTCCTCTTCTGAAGTGACTCAGCTCCAGGTGTGCAAACCCTGACCACTTGTTTACATCGTGAGGACCCTGAGGGACAGCAGGATGTCTGTGTGAGCAGTCCAGTGGCTGTGTTTAAACTGCAATATAGGAGAAATGTAGGTTTTGTGTTTTTGGGGTTCTCCTCCCTGCCACGGTGACAAACAAAGGATCATGCTCAGCTGCATGGGAGGCTGTTCTGTTTCCCAACTGGCTCTGTGTTCCCACTGACTCTGGAGCTGGGGATAGCAAATATTGCATGCCCCTTCTGAAGAGCTGGGTCTGAGTAGAGAAGCCCTATGTAGGTGGAAAGGGAAACAGAAGGATCGTGACTTTGCTGAGGTCATGTGGAATAGGACATAGGGCTTCCTGGATCCCTATGCAGAGCATTGTTCACTCCATGCATAATYTCTGAAAGGCTTTTCTTGTACGAGCAGGATGGAAAGGGTGGAGAGGAGAGGGGCGAAAGGGTGGGGACCGGTCCCACAGGGCACAGCCGGCTGAGCTGGCACTCTGCCAGCAGCTGCAGGGTCACACAGATTGAACCAAGATGGGCTCAAACTTCAGAGTTCGTCAGTGGGTTTTGAACAGGAAATCTGCTTGCTCGAGTTCACTTTCGGTGAGAGCTTGCAGCGGCACAGCTGTGCCTTCACCTCGCTCCCAAAGGGCAAGTGGCTGCAAGCTGCATCTGTCATCCTGTGAGGAATGCTTCTGGCTGAGAAAGACCTCTGGCCTCCAAAATCCCACACCTCCAACAGCCACGTCTTGCTTCACAGTGCAAACCTCGAATATCCAGAGAAGATGCCAAGAGTTAAAGTTGTGGTGTCTGCCAGCTTTGGGGTTGACACATGCAGGCAGTGCTGTGAAGGGTCACCCAGGAGTGTCACACCGTGTGCTGGTGATGTGAGCTGGATGTGTCTGTGCCTGAGAGCAGAGTGTGTTTGGTGTGAAATGGCCCTTCATGTGGGCACTGCTGAGAACTGGCAAGTGTACAAGTGTTCTGGTGTCCAGGGGCTGTCCTGCACACAGACACCCCACAGCCTCTCCAAACCCTGCTTGTCAAGGGAGAGACAGGCGAGGTGATGCTTCTGTTTTCAGACAGGACATGGACCAGAAGAAGGATTATTCCTGCRTGGTCAAACCCAGCAGTTCAGTGCTGCCTTGGTGTCCTGCAGCAGCAGTTCCTGCCCTTCTCACACTCTTTTTCCTGAAGTGGTTACACAGGGACAGCCCCGTCAGACAGACACAAACACGTGGACATTAATGAGTGCCTGTTGCCAGAAAGGAAGCCTGTGATGGGACTGCCGTGGGCTGCCTTGGCACGCTGTGCAGCWCTTAACAGGACAGCTGGCCTCTGCTGTCTGCACTTGCAATTGTCCACTCCAAATCTGTCSAATCCCAAGGGGAGAGAGGCTGATGGGAGCTGTTTCCCACCCCTAGGACGAGAGATACGTGCGGGATCCRGGAGGGAAGCTGTCAAACCAAGCTCTCTGCATATCTTGCAACCTTATTATCTCATTTCGACCTGAGTCTCTCCTTCTAACTGTGGCCCAAGCCAGGGACTGTCCAAAATCTTTATTTGAACCTAACAGGAAAAGGTGTTGTACGTGACTGAACGCATMATTTTGTAAATACATTCAATTCATGTAAAGCCCCTTTATCAGCTAATAGCTGACTGCTAATGTTGACACTCTTGTTTGATGTAAACAGAAAAGTACATGTCTTGACCCTCAGTAGAGGGCGTCGATAAGCGGGTCCWTTATCTGATTGAGGTGAAAAGATAAATACACATCCAACAGAAATAACACTGAATGATCTGCCTGTCCCATGTATCTCTCCATGCAGAGATAATGCATGGTTGGAGCTCATCAGAACCGGATCTTTGGCATGAAACATCTCCCACAAGWCTGGCTGCAATGAGCAGTCTGTAGATTTGAAAAATGTGTGTGCTGGCTGCAGGTTTGCTGAGTGTTACTGCAGTGACTAACTGGCAACTGCAGCAGACTTTAGGCGGAAATATTTTCTGGAGGAGACCAGGAATTTAGCTGGACTCAGGGCTAATGGGAGAATATTTTCCAGCTTGGATACCTCAACAAAATGAAGGGAGGAACTTCAGTTTTAGAGAGACGTTGAGCCTCAGAATTGTTTGTGTCTAAGTTCTGTTGGAGCCTGATAGAGTTTGGTGTTGTATTCTTGGGTAGGAATATGGGTGTTGCAGATGGCTGTTGGATGTTTTGGCTACTGCTCTGTTCTCCAGAGCTGAAACCTGCTCTTGTACTGAGCATTTGGGTGAAAGATGAAACCTTTTATTGAGGAAACTGGCCCAGAGACCATTCCAGCCCTCTGTCCAGTTTGTGGGGAAATGTGTGGTGGAGGATCTTGAATCACAGCAGGCTGATTCGGGCAGTGGCAGAGGGAGCAGAGGGCTGGCAGGGCAATGCCTCTTGTTCTTCCTCCCTTTTTGGATTAAATCAATAAGGACGAAATTGTGTGTGTCTTGTCTGTGGAAGGAAGTGAATCCATTAATCTTATTTGGTTGGGAAACAGTTAAAACAGCCAGTTTGTTCCTAGGACTTTTAAACAAAAATCAAAACACCATTTTTCTCAAAACAACTCATACATGCTCAACTTGGTGGCTTCAGCAGAAGCAGCMGTGTGAGAGTTCCCATGAACTCTGGCTAACCTCTGAGATTTATTGATAAATGAAAAAAATAAAGAACCAGTACTGAAACCTTTCCTTGCTTAAGCATTAGCCTCTGTCTCTTAACAAGAAGCCCAGGGCTGGGTTCAGAATGTTTACTGCTTTTAGAGATGTTAAGGAAAATGAACTCCAAACAGTTTGAAAGACTAATATAGAAAAATCTGTGGGTTTTGTTCTGAACTTAATGCAGAAGTGGGAGTGAGTTGTGCATTTCAGTTGGCAAGGACACATTTTTTGAGCAAAGGTGAATCACAACCCACACCAAAGGACTCCTCTTTCCCATGGGCTGGTCACCTGCTGTGTRGTGCCAGAGTCATGGAGTTACCAGTGAGCCCAGACCAGCTCTGGGGTGAAGTCAGAGTGCCAGTGGGTTTAGCGTGGCTGTGCTTTGGGGAAACCCTCACTCTGTTACCAAAACATGAGATGGAAATGGAAACATTTGCAGACAATGGCTCCRAGAGAGGAGCAGTGGTGTTACCAGTGATGGACACTGACCCAACACCAGCATCCTCTGGGCTGTCACTGCCCATCCACACTCACCCATGGAGGCTTGGAGAGTGTGCCCTGTTTGCCTTTCTCCTGATGTCTGCGCTAATGTGTAAATCCTATCATTGTACTTCATGAGAAAATGYTTGGCAATCCCAGGAGTGCTTCCATAGAAAGAGGACACTTATATATATGCAAAAAAACTCAGCAGGATTTTGTTTTTTTGTAAAACAAAATGTGACTGTGAGATATTACCCTAGAATGAGGAATCATTTTTCTTTGATGCAGAATTGCTTAGTCTTAGAAATAACATTTATATGCATTTTTGTGCAGATAGGACCTGGGCTGTAAAATTACATCAACCCAACTTTTAATTTTGCAGATGTAAATTGCACCTSCAAATCATTTTGTCTGCAAACTTCAGCATTTCTTATCTGATTCCCTGAATTCCAGTGGTTTCCTTAACTAGTGTCAGTTATTTCAGTATACAGCTTTGCAGGCGCTACTATTTCAGGAATAAAATTGCAGTCTCAAAGCTTCAAACCAATTTCTGAACATTTGAGGGAAGTGAAGAGTTAGGATGTGCAAATCCCCTATTCATTCAAATCTTTTGGTRCTACCTTCCAGTGTGAGATCTGTGCTGGTGATCATGGTAAAAGACTTTTTGGTGTCCGTTGAGCGATTTGATCCGACCAAAGCAAGAAACTGCAACTGGCAGCGAGATTCATGGTCATGTTTGTGATGTGTGTTCTTGTGACTCACGTTTTGTCAGTCTCAGTAGCAAGATTASTCTTTTAACAGTTTCATTTCCTATTATCTCCCTTTTGCTAGCTGTGTTTTTAAGTCCAAGCCAATTACCCAGTCTGAAGTTACCAGTGTCTGTTGTTTAAATRTGGCTCCGGGGTGTGGGCATTTATTTCATAATGAAGTGTGTGCATGTGTAGGCACCCACAGAATCAAAACCCTGGGTTAGTTCCTCCCCATCACCACTGAAGATGACATTTTTTTAGTTCAATGCTTCTACATGCCTTTTGGGAAGTAGCTGAGATACAGTTAGCTCAAGTAAGAATTGTGAAAATTAARCATTTTTAAGTATACAGTGTTTTAAAAAAAGGCAGAAACGTACACAGAGCTTTTGTTTCTTGGCAGCCATATACAGGTTGCCAGATTGATGTACTGGAACCCAGAGTTTTGAATTTACCCTGAGGTGTGCCAGGGCAGGTCAGGGGTCAAGGTGGGCACAGCTGCCCGGTGCCTTCAGCCTCACCCATGGATGGCAGGACAAGAATATGGCTCCTGTTCCTGGGGCTGTGCTGAGATGGTCCCGAAGGGGAGGATTGAGGGCTGGCATCACCTGTTGAACAGGAGTTAGATGGAGACCCGTAAGCTTGTGYCATGTTGTGCTGTGAGCACAGAGGTCTCCCAGTGTTGCTGCTTCCTTTGTGCTAAAAAGAAATTCCACCCTACAGAGGTAAATCTGTTCAATTCAGAGCACAGTAAGGGTGTGGCTCTGGTAACACATCACCAAACTTCACCTTGGTAGTTTTGTGTCCCTGGAAGGTTGTTTGGTACAYAGAACCATGGAATAGTTTGGGCTGGAAGGGATCTTTTAAAGGTCACCTAGTTCAACCTCCCTGCAAAGAGCAGGGATGCCTTCAACTAGAACATTGCCTTGAATGTGATTGAAAGCAATTAGTCAAACCCAGTTGTTATATGCCTAATTTGTTGATATATTCATAGTTTGAATACATGTTTTACTCAGTGTCTCTTGCTATTTGAACAGGGTCGCCATGTTAAGACTGGGCAGCTGGCAGCAATCAAAGTGATGAATGTTACCGAGGTGAGTGCAAAACCAAAAATAAAAAGGTCGTTGTTAAGCTGCAAGGAAAATTAAATAATCCGATTATGAGAAGTTGGGCAGCTCATGAAAGAAGATCCACTGGTATAAATTATGGTTCCTGAGCACCAGTTTGTGTTTTGTAAAGTACTGAACATTGTTAACACAACCATGTTTTTAAAGTGTACCTGACCAATGGTGACAAAGTGATAGGGGAGCGCACTGCGGTGTGTTTTGGTAGTCAATAATAACAAAGAGATCATGTCAGTCAATAATAACAAAGAGAATAAGTCCCTTCCTGCTTATTTCTAGTTGATTATCTGCTTTCAGAGATAGCAATTAAAAGATTTCCTGTAGCTCTGCACTGCCTGTGCCGTTTCATCACCTGCTGTCCCCTGGCGTGCCAGCCGTTCCTCGGAGCAGTGCCCTGACAGCCAGCAAGCAGCAACACGTTAGAAATGCAAATGCAGTGCTTTTTGATTGTCATTTGACAGATGAGGGAAGGAGACAGTTTAATTGGCACTGTCCCTGCTCCCATTTATAAATGAGTGTCAGTGCTGGAGCAGGGTGTTGAAAATGTCGCTAAATATTGGGTTTGTGTTTTCTTTTTAAGAGCAGAGCCAGTAGTCGAGCAGCTTGACTCCTTGAAACCACATTAGTCTGAGCCCCAGGAAGGCTGGGGAGGCTCTCTCCTTCCTCCTCTTGAGTTTCCTAGAATTCTAGTTTGGTGGGGCTCATCTAGACTCACTGAAGACCAGCTCCCTGTTCTGTCATCTGGCAGTGTGGGGATGGAGAGCAGAACTCCAGGACTTCTAGTAATACTATGGAAGAGTTCTCATATGAAATTGAGACCCTTCATGGGAAGGTCTGGGTGTTGTGAGGAGTGTGTTAGTACAAYTGATAAAAAGGGTTTTCCCTGGGGCTCTTCTGCACTAAACCCTGAACAATTCCAGCTCAAATGTTCCTGCTTGCTGGCCTTGGCACAGGGTTGAGTGCAGGGYTTTCTGCTCTTATTTCCACTTTGCTAATGCAGGGTTGGCTGTACTCCTGCTAAGGTGCAGGCTGGCATATCTGGATGCAGTCACTTCCGCTACTTCAGCCCCTTTTGTTCACCAAAAGATTTTGATTCTTTCCCCAAACCTACCGGGTTTCTTTCCCCAGCAAGAAGTCATTTCATCAGAAATTGCCTGAGCRGCCCCAGCTGTGATTGTTCAGATCTGGGGCACTCTGAGAGCTCAGCAAATCTGCCCTTTGCTCTCTGGAGCTGCAGCCCCRGGCCGGTTTGTGAGGAGCAGCAGCAGGATGCTGTGGTCATTGTGGGATGCTCTGGACATCTGTCAGGAAGTGCTGCCGTGTTGAGCTGCAGGGGGAGTGGGGGGAGCCCTTTGAAATGGTGAAAGGGGAGCTGCTGGCAGCGTGTGCCTCTCCACGCAGGCTCTGCTTCCTGCCATTTGACAGAGCCACACAAGCACAGTGCCTGCAGAGATGCTGGATTCTTGCTGCCTCTCTCTTCAGCWGTCGGTGCAGGTGATCAAAGAGCTCTTCTCCACACATCATTCTCCGTCCGTCTTTGCTTTCATTCTTTCTAGAGAGCAGAATAACATTTAAATGTGAAACTTGTTAGACCTGTGCCAGTGCTCAGGGGTCCCTGGGTGCAGTGTTTATCAGCCGCTGATCTCRTTTCCATTTGCGGTCAGAGGCGTGTGCTTTYTRGTTCCAGTGCCACTGCAGACAGGCYCACATCTTCAAAAACAGCCTTTGATCAGGAGCTGTCATCTCTGTGCAGGCAGCCAGCTGTGCCCAGGAGCACGGGTTTGTGAGAGCAAACAGCTTTTTGCACCTGCACAGCTGCGAGCCGGCTTCCTTTGCTCATTATTGATGAGCAGCTTTGCAGACCCCTGAGAGATGGGGCTGATGGAATGCTGGAAAGTGGAAATCCTGAGTGTGGGCATGCACTGAGCAGCCGAGGGTGCTCTTGTCACCCTGATTGAAGGATGTGTGTAGCACTGAGTCTGGGCTCAGTTCTGGGTGGCCTTAGACCTGACYCATGGGGTGCAGTCACTCACATTTACCCTTCTGCCTTGGCTTTTCCATGGCATAGAGTATTTTAACCAAAACTCACCGAGGCACCAGGAAGCCAGGGTTCATTTGTGTRTGAAATGCCCAGCTTTCACCTGTCCAGCCTTTTCCCCACAGGCTGACTGACCCCTGCAGCTGAGCCCGCTGTCTGCTCCTGCAGTGTCTCCCCAGGACACTCGACCTGTGCTGGGCAGTGTTACCCGGGCACTGCGGGCCAGGATGGGCATGGGAGGGACAAACAGGTGCAGGGATGGAGCAGGTTTTGCCTTCAGAGTAAATAAAGATGAAATAAAGCAGGAATTGGATCTGCCTGGCTCTGGGGAAGGAGCATTCCACATGTGCAGCTACTTTTACTCTTGCCAGGGGAAGAGTCTGCTGGGTATCCCGATTGTGTTTGTGAACACGTGCTTGGTTTTGTTTTAAAAACGTGGAGGTCAGAATGCAGAGAAATAGAAGGTACTTGGATAGGAGCAGTGCCAGCATGGTTCCAACATCCAGAAAATTAACTGGGTAAAGCAAGAAGAGCTGAAAAAGAGGCAGCAGCTATGAGAAAGTGTTTGGGATCTGCCAGCTCCCGSAAGGGAACTTTGTGAAAGGTGTAGGCTGGGCTGGGGGCACAGCAGGGAGCTGGGCTCCATCAGGGCAAATTGCACGCAGSTGGGCAGAGTTTAAAGAAAACAAACTCTTACCAGCTGTAAATACTTTAAGTAATTTGGAGAAGCCTTTATAAAAGGTGGGTGTTGTCCCGCCACAGGCTACAGGAGGGGTGGCAGAGGAAGAAAGGAGGCCTCTCTGGTTGTTCTTCTTTCTGCCCTTCTTCCCTAAAGATCCAGAAGCTCATGTGATGATAAAACCTTGTGGCCAGCTCCAGGATGACAGTTCCCATGTCATTCTCTACCCCCTCACCTGCCTGTGCCCAAAGTTGGGCTTTGGTCTGGTAACCTGTCTTCTGTGGGATGATGTTACTGGGCAAAACTTACTGGTCTCTTCTGTTGGGAAAGACTTTTGTGTGGTTGGGTTTAATATATGCATATTCATGTTCATGTTCATATGCATATTCTTGAGGGAATTTGGCTTTAACCTGTTAAGCTTTAACGTGTTGCTCCAGGTAGAAAGGGCAATGTGTCTGGCTTTGTAAGCAGCCTGTTGTGATGGTTAAAGGAATGCTTCGACGGCAAACTGCTGGAAAATAGAGGAAAAGTGCAGAAAAATGTCCTTTGGGGCTGAGTTGTTCTTGCTGCCTCTTCTTTTTTTGTTGTTTTTTTTCCCTTCAGCTAGTAAGTGCTGACTAGGATGTTTTGCAGCAAGGTAAATTAATTTCCAAGTTTGTTGTGCTCCTTTTAACTGATACAAGAATACCTTGCAGCACAACTTGTTTCTGTTAAAGTGAGTGAGGTAGCAAAACCTCTGTGCCTTTCGCTGGGTGCTGTGCACCAGAGCAAACAGGCTGGATCTGAGAGGGCCTTTCAAATCTCTGGAAAAGGTTATTTCCTTCTAATGTCACTATTAAAACTTGTGTTTCTATTAGTTGTCTTGTACACAATGCTAACTTGGGCAGAAGTGAATGTCCTGGTGAAGCTGAGACAAAGACAAGGGGAAACCGGCAGCTGGTGCCTGGCAGAGGATGTCTAGGGGTGTGTAGCCCCCAGTGTGCCAGAGGTTTCACGGGTGGCATGATGTCAGGAAGGGGAAAAAGCCACAGCCCAGAGCCTCGGGAAGGAGCAGATCCTAACCCTGGCTTAGGCTGGAGTTCAGTTTGCTGTGAGTCGCCTCCTCCTTGGCTTTGGTTTCCTCTCAGCAGGACCCTTCACAGGACTGGGAAGACAAATTGGCTGATGTGTGCACTAAGTGCTTTTCCAAGTATTTAAGTAATGGAGTGTTAGGAATAATTTTATTTTTGTTTGAATCTGGTTAGTTTCTCTGGGACTAAATTACTGCGTGCAGAAACCATAAATGAGGGGGGTAATAAGTCCTGCCTAAGCTCCCTGAGGAGACAATATGCAATGTTTATGCCCTAGTGGGGACATTTTTGATTCTTTAGGTCAAGCCCTAGCAATTCGTTGGTTTAGACCTGTGGATCATGGGGATTCAGTTGTCAGTTTAAGAGGCATCCATCAGCTGCAGTCTCACAATCCCAGRGTARCTCTGGTCCAACTTTGSTCCCACTCAAAGCAGGGTCAGCCAYGGGACCAGAGCAGGGTGCTCAGGGTGATTCCAGCTGGGTGCTGAGATCTCCAAAGACACATTTTCCTTTACAGCCCTGGGGCTCGGTGATCCCTGGTCACCCAAGGAGCCTCCTGCTCTCTTTTGTTGCAGAATGAAGAGGAGGAAATCAAGCTGGAGATAAATATGCTAAAAAAGTACTCCCATCACCGGAATATTGCTACGTATTACGGTGCTTTCGTCAAGAAAAGTCCTGCAGGCCAAGATGATCAGCTCTGGGTAAGTGTTTAGTGTCATTTCTGTTCATCAGATTTACAGCTCCTGCTTTAGAGCTCCARTGTGCTTGGCTTGGACTCTGTCTCAGGGAAGCTCTGAAGTCATTGTTCTGAAGAATAACATAGAAAAGAGAAAAATTACTTCTCCCTAGATGTCTTCCATCCCCTATGATTTCCTCTGAGGATGGGCATAAAGTATGTTACGATTCTTGTGACTTGTGCTGTCATTCTGATTTGTTGTTTGAGCCTTTTTTTTCAAATTAAATGTTTGTCTTTTTTTTACTGAAGTGAAAGAGCTTGTCCTTTTCCCCTTCTCTCCTCTTTCTTGTTGCTTTCCTCTCCTTTTTTTTCAGATGGAAAATAAAAAAAAGGAAGTAGAGGAATTGGCAATAAAGCAAAGAAMAATAATGAATCCTCCAATTTTTCTGGCTGCAAGATTTTTTGAAGCTCTGCAGCAAAACGAGGAATTCCAAATTTCTAAAAAATTCCCATGTTTTTCAGTGCTGTTAGCTCTTGCTCTTCTATTTTTGTACATATTAAAAAATATTGAATTAAAACCTGCAGTAGGAGAGGAGCCCAAGTGAGGTTTTTTTAATTTATTTAGCAGCGCGTGTGATTCAGGAAAGGCSATTTCAAGTCGCTTTGGCACCCGAGATGGCCAGGTGTAGTTTGGCATGGCTGGGTGGTGCTGCAGTGGGTGTTTGCAGGTGTTGTGAGCCTGGCAGAGCTGTGCTGGAGCTGCCCTGTGTGTGTTTTTTCCCCCAGCTGGTGATGGAGTACTGTGGCGCGGGCTCTGTCACCGACCTGGTGAAGAAGACGAAAGGGAATTGTTTCAAGGAGGATTGGATCGCCTACATCTGCAGAGAGGTTCTCAGGGTGAGTCCTGCCAGCAGAGCTTCACTGCTCATTTGCAACAAAAAGGCCTTTGCAAGGCTTTGGTTGCTAAAATAGGTCACTAATGAGCGTGGGTGTTKAAAGGTTGTGATCTGTGGGGATCGTGGGCTGTGGTCCTTGAGTTCAGAGGAGCCCTGAGAGCTGGCATKATGGCTGCCTGACATCCCATATTGTTGTAGTTAATCCCATTTGCTGTATGAAGAACAGAAAATTCCTCTCTCCTATGGCAAATAGCCATCTTCTGAAATTCCAGACACTGGGCACCAAGAAAAGTAAATATATTTTCTGTTTTCCATAAGTCTGCCCTCCACATTTGAAGATCTTACTGCTCACTGCTTCATCTGTTCATGCTGTGTAAGAGCTTTCTTTCATAATTCCTTTACCTGCCCGCACTCAGGAGTCTCTTTTCCACACTATTAGAGGCAATGTTGACTAAACAGCATTCCAGAATCTTAAAGGTGGCCCTGCTGGGACAGTATTCCCCAAGACAAATCTCGGGGCTATATTTCATTCTATGCAGGCTTAGGGCTGCTTGCTTTCTTCTTCTTCTTGTTTTTTTTTTTTTTTTTTTTTTTTTTTCCTGGAAAGTACAGAGGATAAAACAATTCCCAAGTGTAATCTAGTGAACTAGCCTGGAAAAAAAAATACAATGTTGGAGCCAGTCATTCTGAATTCAAAACCCATTACAGAGTTACTGATCCGTCTTCCCTATAATGGAGTTTTACATCTTTCCTAAATAATGGTAAGATGAATGTGTATTCTGGGAATTGGAATTCAGATGGCACACTGAAGTAATGCTTGAATAGGGGTGAAACTTTGTTTCTGGGGCATAGGAGTTGAGAAATGCACTCAGTAGGGAATATTGGCCTTCTTACACGGATTTGGCACTAGCCTGCAGATTAGGATAATTGTATCTGGAGAGCATGGGGCATTCTTCTGCAAAAGGAAAAATCCTCAAGGGTGTGGTCAGGTTGCTCTTCATCGGTGTGGCTGTAATGTCTCTGTTAAAGCAATTGATGTTAAAACATTTGATTTTTGCTCATGCAACTGAAAACTGTAACAGCATGTTGGTAAAAGCAATGGATTGGATTTAATCATGCTTGTTTTAAAATGGAATGGCCCCATGGATTGACAGTGTTTCCTTCTGGAAAATTTAAAAGCTGGGTGGAAGCTCCCTTTGAAGCCATTAATATTAGAGAGGCAAAGTGTTTGGAGTGAAGCATCCCTGGATTACTATAATGGATTATTTCGGTATATTCCTTTATGCCTATGCTAGTTCAACTGTGAGCACTTTTGAAATGCAGGAGGAGATAGCAAATATTAGCTGATTGAAAACAATATTTGCTGCACTCAAAAAGAGGTCTGACATGGCATTTTTAACTTTCTCTAGTCCATTTACCATTGAATTTCCCATTTTGCTGAATGCAAAATTAAGGCCACCACGTCCAGCCAGCTGCTGTCTCTGGTGCTCATAGGGAGCATTCTGCTTTGCTCTTTTTCTCTTTTGTTTGCTTTTAGCAGAGAGTGTAAGGAGCATCCCTTGAGTCTGAGACTGAAGTTTAAAATATTGCTCCCTTGTTCTCCTCMCACTTGACTCAAGAGATGCTCCACCACTGTCAGGCCTGTGCTGAAGAAGAGAATCAAACTTGTGGTTGCTGTCCTTTCTCCTCCCMAAAAATGTTGCTAGTGACTTTCTTACAAATAAAATCTGAAAAGGGTAAAAGTGTAAAAAGGAAACAGTCCCACACTGATGGTAATGTTAGGGAGAAAGAATAAGGAAAATCTGGTTTTCTTCTAGGGYTTGGCGCATCTTCACGCTCACCATGTCATCCATCGAGATATTAAAGGACAGAATGTGCTTCTCACAGAAAATGCAGAAGTAAAATTGGGTAAGTTTCCTTAAATGTGTGCTAGAAACCTGTTTGCTAAAATTCAAGATTTCTATCTTGTCTCAGAAAGAACTTGCAGTAACCTAAGAGCAGCCAGCCTGCCAAGTACCGTTGGCACACTTGTGCTCACAAGGTGTCTGTCACGTAGGAAGAGCTGAAAATGCAAAGTTTTCTGCAGGGATGTCCCTCACAGCCTGGGGGGAATGCAGGCAGTCACATGGAATCTGTCCCATAAGCCACRGCACCATCAGGCTTCACAGAGGATCTTGGGATGCAAAAGAATTCAAAAGGAAAAAAGTTGGGGGAAAAAATTTTGCAAATCCGTTCCTCTAAAGGAAGTGGTCCKAGAGGTTTTGATAAATCTGACAATTCCACAAAGGTGGAATTACTCATGTGTGAGGGCTACCACTGGACTCAAAAGTCATCTCTCAAAGAAGTTGGAGGGTTTACTCATTCCCTTTGATTGCTGTGACATGTCAGTGTTGACAACTTCTGACTTGGTAAAAATAAACTCAAGTATGCATCTCTCTTGTGGAGGGCGTGTTTTTAATGTTTTGGAAAGACATCACAGGGCAGTAATGTTTCCAAAAGGAGAAATCTCAAGGGGAGCACTTCTTGTTTGTGATGATCTTTACAGTGCCTCTCTCTTTAACTGGCAAAATTCACTGTGGAGTTGGAAAACAGCAAATAATAAATATGCTTGTGGATGTGGGGTAGACAAGGTAAATATGGATGTGTCTGATAAGGCCACGTGTGAAAGCTGGAAGGAACCACAATATCACTTCATTTTGAGGTTCCTGGAATAACTCCTTCCCTACATTCATACAATATCTTAGAGCAAGCTGGAGAATCCAGCAATTCCTCTTGCAGTAACCCACCTGACAGATTTAGCATGCTGTTTATTTGATTCTTCTGTCAAAAAGAAGGGAAAAAAAGAAAAAAGGCAGTTGAATTTCAGCCTTTGGATAAGATGTGCTGGAGGAACTCAGATTTCATATCTATTGTAGCCCAAAGGTTTGGAGTTTTAAACAGTGTGAAAGTAATCAAGCACCCGCTCTGTCATGTGGATATAATTTTTACTGATTTCTTTACCTCTTCTTGGCTTTTCAGTGGATTTTGGTGTAAGTGCTCAGCTGGACAGGACTATTGGGAGAAGAAACACGTTTATTGGCACCCCTTACTGGATGGCACCCGAGGTCATTGCCTGTGAGGAGAACCCTGACTCTACGTATGATTACAGAGTAAGTGTTAAACTCTGCATAAGATAGGAAAATATCTGAGTTATTGCTGAAATCCGGCTCATTTGAAATGTTCAAACTTCCTGCCTTTGAAACCACAATAATACTAGAAGTGTGCAAATAGAAGTATTTTTAACATGTGCGTGGAGGTTCTTTTTAAGAACGGAGTTTCACTATGAGTATTTTTCGTGAATTTTTAATACATGAAATAGACTTTCATGAACTTCTCTGTAATAAAAAGTAGTAATATATGAAGGTTGCAGGTCTGGTTTGGCCACGTGCCTCTCATTTGGCTACATTTAGATGCAAAAAATAGTGAAATAATGCACATGATTAATCAAGTGGAAACGTGTGAAGYTTTTACAGCCACTGCTGGTGGTTGCAGTTTACCTTCTGTGAGCAAAACCTGGCCCGTGGCACCCAGATCAGCTGATAAAGGAAACTTCACGCTATTACCTGAGCTGAACATACACTGTGGCATAAACCTGMCTGACTGCATGATGTACTCTGCTCTCATGAGCCAAAAAACATGGGACTGGAGGCGTTTTAGACAGAAAAAAATCAGACCCTAAGGCCTGACTATAATTCCTGTTCCATCAGTGTAGAAACTCAGCAATGACTGCTCTGAAATAACCATTAATACCAAGAATTTTCTTTGGCCAGAAGGAGAAGGGTGAGGCACTGCTGTGACTTGCTGCCTCATGGAAACAGATTTAAGACATATATTTAAGCAGTGCCTGCCATATTCTGTCTGGCTCTCGTTTTTTGAGTGCAGAAGGTTTGCATTTTGGGGCTGGCTGCTTAAATGATGAATCAGCTGTTCAGGTTGCYYKGGAAATGGGAAGCKTCTGGCTATTAGCACGTTTACCTAAAGCTCAGTAGGGAGTGGGAGGGAGCAGAATATTTGTGACTCCAAGTAAAACAACCTGATCCAGAGATCTAGGGAAACTGTAAAAAACCCACCCAAAACCCAGAAGTAAACAAACAAACAAGCTTGAATGCTTCAAGCTGCAACGTGCACTGTTTCTTTTCCTGCAGAGTGACCTGTGGTCTCTGGGAATCACTGCTATTGAAATGGCTGAAGGAGCTCCACGTAAGTGATGGGCACAGAGGTGGGGGTGTTCTGTGCTAAAACAACTCAGGCTTGGCTAATGCAAGATGTACAAAATTCTGGTTCTGGCTGCATCTTTAAAAATAATAATGCGACTTTTTYCTGATTAGGGCTCTTGCCTTCCTCTTCCCTTTAGACCCTTTCAGTCTATATTTTGGTTCTTGCTTTCATCTGAAAAAACAAACAAAACTTTTTTCTTAGAGCTCTTGTTAACATCACTTTGTTGAGGGCCGCCTGTGGATTCAGCTGAGCAGAAGTGATTGATGTGTTAGCAGAAAACATAGGCAGGAATGGCTTTGGGTTTAGGTTGCCAAAAAAAAATGTGACAGTGGAGGAAGGTAGGCCYAAAGGTTGTGTTTTTACTCTGAAACTGCTTGATTCTCACTGATTTTGGGACTTCTGCTCACATGTAATGGTCCATGACCACACTCTGAGTGTGGCAGCAGATTGCCCTGGTTTTACAGCAGCTGCCCCTGAGAGCCTCTTGCAGGTGGGGCAGAGATCTGGTGGCTGTCCAGTCCTAGTGCATTTTTGTTTTTACAGAGGGCTGGTGGCTCTGCTGCAGCTCCTGCAGAGCAGATGGGATGTGCGGGGTGTGCGGTCACTGCTGAGAGCACGGGACATGAAATCCATCACACTCTGTCCTGGGAGCATGTAGGCTGCTTTTAAACAACACACTTGGCTGTTCTCCCATCAGACTTGGATTTTAGCAGGAGCCAGCTGGAGTTCAGGAGCACTCACAGACCCTGTGCTTTAGCCTGCCTGAAGCTTAGTCCTAAGACATGAGTCCATGGGGAATTTCCTTTGGGAGAAACTTTGTGATTTTGCATGCCAGTTCCTCATGCCACTTGCATTTGGTGTTTTCCCCAGTTCTGACAGGGAAATTCTAAGGATTATATTCTGTTGCCTTGTGTTTTGTTTACTAGAGTCTGTAACTGTGTCTGGAAACCAGACCTTCTTCTGCCTCCCATTTCCACTGTATCACGTTATTGAACATAACAGAGGAAAAAGTCAAAGCCAGAACCAAATGTGAGAACCTGTGTCAGATGGATGCAGACACAGAAATTAACAGAAGGCTGGAGGGCTTTACCAGAGCGCAGTCTTGTCACTTGTACTGCAGTAGTTCTGTTACAGTTCTGTGATGCTGTGAGGCCATTTCAGTTAAGACCATCACTGCTGAACACCTAAATACCAAGAAATCAGCCTCAACATAGTTCCTGTCAGTTGTCATTCAGTAGCTCTGTTTGGTGGAGGAAGACCTTTGACCCTCAGCATTTCCCGGTGCCAGATGGGCTGCACTCATAATTCCATACAAAATGCCTGGGACAGGTCAGATGTGACCTGATTTGCTTTCTGCAGAGTTCCTGGTAGCTTCAGCTTTACACAGCAGTAGCCTTAAAGAGAAATACAATGAGCTGTAGGAAAAGCAGCTTTTGAATGTAGGAGTGGAATCTGTGCAGATTGGCTGATAATGGTGCTCCCACTCTGGGAGCATAGGGGGGGTGAAACGTGTGCTCAGTCGTTCTGCTCCGTGCCCTGGTCTGGTTTTGAGCTCTCTGCTTTGTGTCAGCTTTTCCTCATCCTGGGTTTTCTCATATGCCATGAGCAGTCTAGCGAATAGTTTGGTTAAAATGGAGCTGATCATTTATCTGAACCAGAAACCAGGCAGAATAACTAGATAAGTATTTCAATCTCAGCTTTAACTCCTGTTGATGTGCAAACACACTTCTGTGTGTAGGAACGGTGAGCTTTTTTATGTCCTTCTGCAGCTGTAGGTATAGGAAGTATGGAGAAAGTTGTTCTTGCCTTTCAGCCTTTCTTCCAAATCTCTTCTGGAAATGTCTGTGTAGTCAGAGATTTGATTTCTTGGCTGTGGTGTGAATTTGGTTGGCTCCTGGTRGKGTTCTGGGGCGGAYGCTGTAGTGTTGGAAGTGGGRGTGTTTGGAAGTRGAAATGAGGTTGTGGGGCAGGCATGCACCCTTCAGTAATTTGTGGTTTCCTTTGCAGCCCTGTGTGACATGCATCCCATGAGAGCACTCTTCCTCATCCCACGGAACCCACCCCCAAAGCTGAAATCCAGAAAATGGTAAAGAGATGTTTTTTAAAACATGTATTTTTGCTGCGTTTGGCGTAGAAAGATTTCTAACACTCTTGTCCAGACAAGATGATTTTGTTAAATCATGTAATTACCTGGGAGGTCATTCCTAGGCTGTTTCTGGGTTAAGCCAGAGAGCAGAAGTAGTTTACCTTTGGGAAGCAACACCTTTCTTTTGAACTCTGCCTAAACTGTGGCAGTTGTTTCATTTTGGTATCTGTGGCTGAAATTTCAGGACAAGCAGGGAATRTTTCAATGGGTGGATTGGGATCAGGGCTTTGTCCAAAGACTGCATGGACATTGTGGGGCTCATGGCAGTCACCTGCCCTGCAGAGAATTCCTTGGTGTTTTAAATGAAGCATATAAAGAAAGTTTCACCRTATCACAAGGCCAAGGGCGTTTTTGAAAGGCTTGTGTTGGCCAGATTGTGGTTTTGTTGATCAGGATGTAAATTCAAGGTAACAACTGCTCTGAGAGGGTGGTGAGGTGGCGTTCCCATTGTTCACCCTCAGCACTGTGCTGGTCCCAGGAGTCACATTGGTGGCAGAACTCAAATTGTCTCTCTCAGTTCCAGTGTGAAAGGAAACCTTGAAAAATTAGCATTATCCATTTATTCACTGCTTGGTCCACAAATTGAAAATGATTATTCTTTTTTTTTTCTCCACTGTTCTGTCTTTTTCAGGTCAAAGAAGTTCCTAAACTTTGTTGAAAGCTGCCTTGTGAAGCATTATTTGCATCGGCCGTCCACGGAGACGCTGCTGAAGCATTCCTTCATCCGGGACATGCAGAACGAGCGGCAAGTGCGCATCATGCTGAAGGATCACCTGGACAGGACCAGGAAGAAAAAAGGAGAAAAGGGTAACATGAAAAGAAACACAATAAAATACCCTTCAAAGAGCAGGGCTGCTTTGGATTTTGGCAGCAGAGCACAAGGCAGATGCAGCTGAAATACTTGAGACAGGAAAATTGAGAAGGCATTGTCCTTAGTAGTGTTTGGGCCATATTGAAAATCTCTCTGTCAAAATTTGGGTCCTTAATGATGTTTTGGTGCTGAAGTCCTTGGAACCTGGCAGGCTCTGAGTCAATGAGAGCAGCCCTGATGCTRGCAGGGAGTGAGGACTCCAGGTAAAGTCTCGGTCTTTGCTTTCTTGAGTAGTGCCCCAGTGGTGTTTCCTGGTCTCTTAGYTCATATTTCTGTCCCAAATCCATTTGATTTACCTGTTGGATCTCCATATAATTTTACCTCATGAGTTCTTTGGGGGCAGCAGGGCTGTTCTAAGAGTTTTGCAGTGGAATGCACAAAAGAGACCTGGAGAAAACCTACAAACTCCAGTAAAACACAAATGTTATAATGCATCATCTGCTTCAAAAAGTGCATGAGGAAAAGGAGAATTCAGATTTGTTCCAGCCTTACTCTGCAGAGCAAAACCCAGAAGAAGCAGTGCAGGAGGAGGGATAATTGTGAAAATGCCTGAGTGGCAGACTRAGGGCTGTGCAAAGGGGACAGGGACATGTGTCCTGCTGACAATGACCCTGCCCTCTCTCCTTTCTGTACCTTTTCTACTGCCAGAGGCACTGTGAGGGCAGACTTGGGAAGCACTGTGGTGTTGGAAGGTGTCTTACAAATTCTGATTTGACAACAGGAATATTTGCACCTAAAATGAAATTGCTGTTGTGAAGTAGATTTACTGACTCCAATAATAGTTGCAAATTCTGCCACCTCCTTCAGCTATGAATCTCAAAGCACACTGGAATGGAAAGATAATGAATTAGAGTTTCTTGCAAATGCCCTTGAGAAGGGGGGAGAAATGCAGTGATAACAGTCACTTCTTCATAAATAGTTATATTTTGACCTGAAAAATGCTATTTTTAATCAAAACTCCCCTGAAAAAGGCGAATAGTGTGGAATTGCCAGACTACACGCTTSAAAATAGCAACTTCAAAAAAAAATGAAGTCCCAGTTTAGCATATAATATAGACAACAAGGCAGGGTAGGATCAGTTTGAAATTATCCTGTAAAAGTTGCCTTCACGTTGAGTCTGGAAGAGAACTTTATGGGTCAGCTTTTGAAACTTTGTGCTAAAATTGGTATTAGTTTGYGTTTTCTTTTTTGCTTACTTATTTATTCCCTTTGATACAAAAAGGGAACCTGGATTTACTGCTGGCCCCAGTGTAGCCATGACACAGGTATACAGCACAGAGCAGGGCAATGAAAGCTTTTATGTCCTATCTGAATGTCTTTTTGAAGAATCCGTGTGCTGTTGGTGCTGTGGGGGTTGGGTTTCTCTGTGGGTTTRGCCTAATTTGTTTCAGATTATGGAAGTAGGTTAGTTTTGCAAAACCAATACAGTCAGTCACAGGAAAAGGTGGGTGTGTGTACAAGGGCTGCCCTGAATCATTATCTGAACTAGATTTTGAATTAYGAACGTGAATATTTTGCCTCCCCTCAGCCTCCCAGTACAACCTGGGACTTTTAAATTCCARTTCCTGCTTAGCCTGTAGTTCAGAAATGCTCACAAACAAAAGTTCCAAGTTCACGTCTTAAATAACAGCATACTCTGTTATTTATATTCTCTTTTTTAGAAGAAACAGACTATGATTACAGTGGAAGTGAGGAGGAAGATGATGAGCTGAATGAAGATGAAGGAGAACCAAGGTGAATTTTGTTACTGAAATAGAAAGTTTGAGTGCCCAAGCTGTTCTCATTGAAGGCAGAACAGCTTTCTTACCTTGCCCTGAAGCCCTCATCTCCTGGGTCCCCTTTGGTAGCTTTAACTGTTTTGTAGCTGTCAAACATAACTGCTGAGTATAAAATGTCTGTAATAAGCTGCTGCTTTGGTTCACCTGCAGGAGGGGGGAAACTCAGATGAAGGACCCAATAATCAGCTTCAGGCTGGTTTGTAGCACACTGAGTGTGGCTGCAGAATCAACTGCTGCACATCTGTCGTGATTTRCTAATGCAGGGCAGGCAGCAATTCTCCAAACACCTCATATTCCCTCTGTAATGCTGTGTTTTGTCATGTAGAAACCTCCTCTTTGTTTCAGCTCCATAGTTAATCTCCCGGGGGAGTCAACTCTGCGCCGGGAATTTCTGAGGCTGCAGCAGGAGAACAAGAACCGCTGTGACCCTCAGCGGCAGCARCAGCAGCTCAAGGACCAGGAGAAGTACAAGAAGCAGCTGCTGGCAGAGCGGCAGAAACGCATCGAGCAGCAGAAGGAGCAGAGGAGGAGGCTGGAGGATGTAAGGGGCTGGCTTGTGTTCTTATCCCACGTCTCATCACAAACAAAAATGTGCCTGTAGGGAATAGGCTTTGCAAGGCAAGAGGGCTGTGTTAAATTGGCAGCACAGGCTGGGTCACAGTCTTGCACCTCAGAGCTGTGTCACTCCTGAACACAGAGATTTAAATGGGCTCTGTGCTTTTCCTGCCCTGAGCTCTGTGAGCAGAAGGGGAAGGACATTTTGCTTGGGTTAATTTGGTGGTGGTGGCCATGGCAAATGGGTTGAGAGATTTCTCCCTCATGTGCATTTCCCAGTTTGGGTCTGCTGCTCTGGTCCAGAGTCTGGGCCCTGCTTTTGTTTAAGATATTAAAAGACAGCTGCTTGCCTTTCAGCTGCCTGACATGCTGTTGTCTTAGAGGCAGAGCTAGTTCATGAAATCATAGAACCCTTAGGGTTGGAAAAGACCCCAAGGATCCAGTGCAGCCATTAACCCAGCCCTACTCTGTGTAGACTTGTAGACGTGTCCCCCACTCTGTCTTGGTCCCAAGTGCCACATCCTCATTGGTTTTTTTTAACACTTGCAGGGGTGGTGGTTCCACCCCTTCCCTGAGCACTCTGTTCCAGTGCTTGACCAGCCTTTCAGTAAACAAATTTTTCCTGATATCCAGTCTAAACCTCCCATAGCACAACTTGTTTATTACCTGGGAGAAGAGCCCATGTAGCTACAACCTCCTTCCAGGGAGTTATAGAGAGCAATAAGGTTCCCCTGAACCTCCTGTTCTCCAGGCTGAGCCCCCCCATTTCCCTCAGTTTYTCATCAGATGTGTGCTCCAGCCCCTTCCCCAGCCCATTGCCCTCTCTGGACCCACTCCAGCCCCTCAATGTCTTCTTGCAGTGGCACAACCCAAAAATCACCAATGTATCCCTTCTCATGAGTRTCTGACAAAACTCGAGCATTGTGTGAGCTCTCCAGAGCTGACATTTGTGAAGCACAGTGCTGCTCCAGCAAAACGGGAGCACTCTGGAAAAACCCTTCCTTCTTGAAATGCCAGGAAGACATTTGTCATTAGGTTAGTTGCCAGCTGTCAGGGAGATCTCACATGCCTCATAAATGACAGATCTGCCAAAAGGGCAGAGGTTTCACTTGAGGCTTGGCAATAGTGGTGGTGGCAGCTTGTCCCTGCCCACTGGTGCTCTGTGGTGTGTKGGGTGTCCCCCCTTAGTGATGGAGAGCAGGAAATGGGCCTTGTGATTAATGAGCAGTAACTGTGGGTACAAAAGTGAGGTAGAATGAACAATGTTGTTCCCTGGCTCTCTTCCAGCACCAGAGGCGAGAGCAGGAGCTCCGGAGGCAGCAGGAGKGTGAGCAGAGGTGGCCAGAGGCAAAGGGCGTTCAGAGGAAAGAGGAAAGGGGTAAAGAAGACAAGAGGGCTGTGGAAGATGAATACTTCATTGTAGATGGACAGAGGAAATTGGAAAAGAAGCAGGTATGAAGAGGGTGTTTGCTGACAGCTCCCTGTTCCTTTATCTGATGTCCTTCTCAGTTCCCTGAGGGTGTTCCCATCCTCTGAGTCAGGACCAGTGAGGGAYTTCAYGAATGCATTTACTGCCCCTTGTTCWCAGATTGAGCCTTYCTCTGAGTACCTYAGATGTTACTGAGTCACCCTCCTTAGCTACAGCAGGGCCATTGCCTCCCCCACTTCTGCCCCTGTTGTTTTCTCTGTGCTGAAAGGGTCTTCAGTCTGATTAAAACTCCTTGGCCTGAAAGCTTCAGCATCACCTAAACCTGAGCTTAAATCTCCAGTCCCAATTTTGCATTCAGGTTGTAATCTGGACCATTTCTTTTTCACCAAAACAATGGARCAGAGGTCAATTTTAATACTGAACTGTCATTATCAAGTCTGTCACCTTGGCTACAATGTTTTTCTGATGTTCCAGCCACAAATTGATTTGTAATCAAACAGAAGCATGGGGTGTTTGATTAAAAACCTCTGGTTTTAGTAAAAGTAAAAMGAACAAGTGTGATTTTCTGACCTGCTGTCTAAAAAGCCAAACAGTGTTGGTTGCCACTTTATTTTTGCTGTTGCTTGGGGTTCTGACTCTTCTGTCAGCCCTGCTGGACTTAGGGTCACTTTGTTCTTTGAGAGAGCAAAGAATTGTTCAGCTTGGTTGTCCTCCAAGGCACGATTGTCTCTGAGGTTCCTCTCTCTGCTTTCAGAAGATGGAAGATGTGCAGCACAGCAGGAAGGTGCACAGAACTCTCCCCAAAGATCAGACACAGCTGCTGTCTCTCCAGCACGACCACAGGCTGAAGAAGAAGGAGCCTGCCCAGAGTTCCAATGCAGCAGTGCAGCCTCCATCGAGCAGCACGAGCCAAGAGGTACTGTCTGAGCCAGAGCAGCATTGTGGTGCTGTGCAGGTCATGGTGCTGTGGGATGATGAGGCAGAGAGCAGCCTCATCTTTAATCCTGCATTTGGGGCTTGACTTGTGTCTTAAAACACACTAGGGCTGCAGTCTGTGGTTCCCATTAATATTTGGAGCATGAGGGAGAGGAGGAATTGTTCTGTCACTTCTGCTTGAGTTCAGGGAAGGGTTTGATTGGTGGGTGGGGAATTAAGGTTCCTGTGGTCAGGTAGGTGTCATTCCTTGTCTTCCAAAGTGAAGTAATGCCATCTGAGGTTTGATAGAGGTCTGTGCCTGGTGCTAGGGTTCACAGAATTGACCCAGGCACAGAATGGCATCGTGCCTCCTCAGCACAGATCCCTGTGCCCCAGCAGCAGGCTGTCATGCCTTTTCCTGTTTTTCTTACATCCCAAGATAAGATTTGATGGATCAGGTATAGCCATATATAGTCAATCTATACTGTAATCCATTTTTCTCCTTTGCTAACTCTGGCAGYATTTCTGCCCASCAACTCRTTCTCCTTACTGTCACCATGTTATGAAAGCTATGGGCCCATTTCTATGTCATCTCCTCATTCCTAGCACGCTTATTTTGCTTTTTTTTTTAAAATATAATCCCGCCTGGTTAACCCAGTTCTACATCTGGTGTGATCTGTTGTGCCACTGAAGTCTGGGTCAAAAATCTCAGTAGCTCACAGGTCCCCGCTCAGCTGAGGAGTGGATGAGATGTTCTCTGCAGTCATGGCAAAGTGTCTGCTCAAAATGCCCAAACAGAGGCACGAGGAGAGCTCATGTAAATAGGAGAAATGCAGAGTGCAGCTTYTTAACACCTTGCTGCTGTCTTTAARCASATGCCACCTTTGTCACCTTCCTCTGTGTGTGTGTGTGCTACAGCTGCTCCCTGAGCTGAAATGTCCTGTGTTGATAAATAATTAAATGTAATTGCTAGGATTGGTGAAATTATGAATATTAGTAACTGAATAGAGTCTGCAAACAGCCAAGCAGCAACGTGAAATCAGGAAAACAAAAGATATTAAGCTCCTTGTTAGAAGAGCAGTTTGTGAAAATGAGAGTAATTCTGTTTGAAGTACAACTTAACTGTCAAAACCACAAATGCCCTGACTCTAAAGGCTTTATTGTAGTGACTGATTAAACAAATCGTTACTGAAATTTGAATGAACTGCTCTTGAAATCAGTATTTGTTTGATGATGGAGGGCTGGGGTCTTRTTCCAGCTGAGGAGTAAATTGAGTGTGGACAAAGGAGTAAGCTGCTTTTGCTAAATACACAACATCAAAGTCAATAGAAGAGCTTTGCCTTTGCTAGGCCTTTAATGAGTGAAAATGCAACCCAGATGATTAATTTATTTTCTACTTTATTGTAGTTAGAAGACAAAAAAACAACAAAATGCTGTCTTAGATACTTGTCTCTGGTTTTAGCATGTTTTGTAAATGACTCCTTTAGAGCAAAATAAAATATGTTAAAGAATTTAGTGTGCAGTCACTGTTAAGTTTTAATTTAGTGGTGAAATACAGTATCATCAGTTGCAGATAATGTGCTGCCTGCTTTTTAGGTTCACAGCATGAGGCKTTTGTCCTTATGGCTACCATAAATTATTCTTCTCTATGTAAATATAGCTTTAAGGATATTGTACAATATTATTTATTTAATCTCAGAACTTCTTGGAAGTCACAGATCCTTCCTTGAGTTCACCAGGGCTAAAATTTCATGGTGATTGGCTGTGGTTGCTTGCTTTAATCAGTTTTTTTTTTTTTAAAGGTTTCGATCTTTTTTCCACAGTGGGGATCTGTGAGACTAAGTGGAATAATTTTCCATGTCCTCAGCAGTTTCTAGGCTGTGCTAAGAATGTGCTTACCTGTCTGATACAGGCACAAACATCCAGATATAGTGAGAGATACCATTAAGAATGCCCACCCCGACACAGATAACAGGGTGTTTTTATGGCATTAATCTCTAGTTTATTGTGTAGAGCTGTTTCCAGGCTGCTGAATCAGAGGATATGCTAAAGATTTACACCAGAGAATGGGAATTAGTCATGTTGAACAGAATCGAAAAGAGTAGGGGGGTCAAAACCACAGGATAAAGACTTTTGAAATGAGCAATACTCTCAGGAAATTTATTCCTTCTAGATCATGTTCCTCAGTCTTTCTCACAGTTCAAGTAACATACCAAAAGATACAGTGTTAARGGTGTTTTAAGGTAGAAAGCAGTAATGTCAGTGGAAGGAGACAATAAATGCACAGCAAAACAGGCTGCATGTTGTCAAAGATAAATAAATACTGGACAGATGATTCCTCCCAGCTAAAATCCCAGCCTGCAGCCAAAGGGGTGGCCTGGAATACAGCAGATGGAAACTCAGGCCCTTGTCCTTGCTGCAGCTGGGAAACTTGATGGGGAAGGAAAGGCTGCAGATGGAGAGATGACAGTGGTTTGTTCTGTGCTGTCCTTGGTGGGAGGGTCTGTCAGAGGTGCTGTGCTCTGTGCTGCTGKGGGACAGCATCCAGCCAGGGGCTCTGTGTGCAAATGCTGCTGCTTTTGTCTTTGGCAGGCCGAGGAGAGAGCCAAGAGGAGCGAGAGCCCATCCAGTGCTGTGCCATGGGCCGCCCCCCAGGGCAGGATGGGATCCGGGAGCAGCTCCAGCCCCTGCACCCCCGCGCCACAGAGAGCCCTGCTCGTACAGGTACTGCTGCCCAGGGGACTGGGGTGGGTCCTGAGCTGCTGCCCAGGGGACTGGGGTGGGTCCTGAGCTGGAAAACCATCAGAACAGAGCTCCCTTTGCTCCTGGCACAAATCACTGAGTCCTGTGCAAACCAGCTCAGAGGGTTTGTGGTGCCGCCTCTGCTGCTGAGTTCTGTGTGCAATTACACTGAAGCACTGCAGATCAGGGTTAGATAACAGTTATCTTTCATGCTTGATGCCTGATTGTTGAGTCCATGAAACTCCTCTCAGATGTTTCACAGAAAGCCTGAGTGGCAGTGCTCTTGCAGTCCCTGGGTGATGTATTATTTATATGATGCTGTAAAAGTATGTGGCACTTTACAAAATGAGTCCAAATCCAGAATTTTTGTAAGTGAAACCACATAAACAAGCAAGATTTTTTTGTGATCTTGTGAAATAATCTGTAAGTATGTAGAGATATAAGGAGCAATGCAGAATCAGATTTTGTCTGTGAACAGAGCCCAGAAAGTCTGAGTCTTTAAAAAACTCCTGTATTAGAGGCAGAAGGGGATCTAAACAGTCCTTATGCAATGAAAGCACTCTGATGAAGTTCTGCATTGGAATTCTTCTCTCAAAACATTTTAGCTCCAGATATTTTTACCAGTTCTGGAAGAGGTGATTCACGGCTCTCACAAAGTGCCCAAACATTGGGCTTCCTTTCAATGTCCTGCCCTCTCACAGTGTATGAAGGGAGTAGCTTGGACTGCAGGGGTTTTTCCTCCAGTCTCTCTTGAAAGGACTGTAAGTGTAGGAGAGCAAAACAGCAAGTAGAAGTGGAATAAACTACACTTAAGTGTGAGCACAGCTCATTTATCCTGGGTATCCCCACTTGCTCTGAAAGTATGCAGTGGCTGGAATAACCTTAATGCATGTATATTTTACATAGCACTTCATTTTTGCAWTCACTCAGCTCCACCAGGGTGTGCTCACTGCAGCCCCAGCTGATCAGCTCCCCTGTGTTGGTGACCCTCAGGTTCAGAATTGCATCCCCCCTGGCAGGGCTGCCTTTCACCTGGCTTTGAAAGTTATCCTCTGTGCATTCCAGGAGATTCCTGGATTGYCTGCAGCTCACCGTGCTGCTGTTCCATGAGATACCAGAGTAGCTGAAATTGCCCACAGGACATGGGGAAGCAGCTCTCCCCTATCCTCCTGCTGTGAKTTGTGCCTTGGAGCAAGTCTGGATAAGAGCTGGTGGATAATCACTGTCTCTGGGTCAAAGCCTCCCTSTGCCTTTCCTGTTCAGGTTGCTTTGCTGTTTGGTAATGATGGAAAAATCACCAGAGACAGATGTTGCGAGAAGAAAGGCTTCATTTCATCTGGTAGCTTTTACCTGGAAAAATATTTGTGTGTCTTCTCACATAGTTTTTTCCAGGGTCTGTTTGTTGTTTCAAGTCACGAGTGTTGTGAGTGGGCTGAGTTGATGGCCTGGCTTGCAGCATCAAATCACTGGGGAGCTGTTGCAGGGTCTGCAAGGACATTTGTATCTCAGCCTTGGGCMGAGGCTGGCAGCTCCCCTGAGGCAAATATTTCAGCCCTGTGAGAGCAGTGGGAGCATCCMTAGTTTATTGCAGGGCTTTTGGGATTCTGCAGGAGCACAGTGGCTGTCCTGGATGGCAGAATAGTCCTGCCCTGCTAAGGTGCCACCCCTGGGGTGAGAGGAGCTCCATTCTAGGCTGGTGCTTCCCCTGGGACAAGTGACCATTCCCCTGTGCCCTGTGTGGCAGCACCTTTCCCAGCTGCTGAGAGGAGCAGTGAGGAATGAAACAGTATTTACCAATTTATTCTTTCACAATCCCTGATGGAAACTGCAGCATGAAAAATGGATGCTGTTGAGAGTGATGGTGTTACTTAAGGATAATAGCAGCGAGTGATGCTCGGTGGCTGCCGTGTGCTTTCCCTCCCTTCTGGGAGCTGCCCTGGTCCCYCTCCCAAGGCAGAGCTGCAGTGACAGCCCGTGTGGACAGGGAGAAGCCAAACTGTGCTGCTGCCTGCTGTGCTCACGTGGAGACCACATGAACCTGAGTGGGTCATTTATAAATCCCCTGAAGGGTTATTTTCCCTCTGCTGGTGCTATGGCAGCGTGTTTGGAGGTGCTGCCTGCATTAACTGAGGTGTTGGGGCAGTGCAAGTGATGGGTCAGGTGTCACCTGGAGATGAAAAAAAACACAGCAAAATACTCGTGAAGCTCAGTACATGGGTGCCTTGTTGATTTAAAATAAAAGTGAGCTGTGGAGTTAGAATGCAAGCTGAATTCATCACAGATGCTGCACTGAAGAATTTCCAGCCAGGTTTGTCAGAGAGGGATCATCTGTCATCACTGCTCTGCTCAGACAAAAATGATTTCTTATTTTCARCAGCCATGTTCTGTGAGATCTTGTGGCACGTCCTGAATGCCCAAATCTCTCTCAGAATCATTTCACTGGAAAGCTTAACACAGCTCCTGAGGTGAAGGGAGCATGATTTCTCAGTGTCTTACATCCTGTCTGTCTGCTGAGGGAAATGTGAGATGTTGCCTGTTCAGAGTGTACCCGTTCCACCTGCTTTGTGCCAGGGCTGTGTTTGCTGCAGTACAGCAGCAGATCTGGTGGTGCTGGTGTGGGATGAGCACTTTTGGACTCTTGCAGAATCTCACAGAAGCTTCTTGAACAAAATCACTGAGTGATCTTCTGCCCAGCATCTCCTGCTGCCTGACTAGTGGAGAAGTTTAGCTCACATCTGAAATGAATTCCATTTTTAATTAACTCTTGTGGTTTTCCCGTGGGCTTTGCTAGGTAGATCTTCTCCATAGTGTGATGTGACTGAATCAGAGCAAGAACACTAACAATATTGCAAGAACTAGCTGTGCCTAAAGCCATGGACTGCACTATTCYAGAGCACATCTGCTTAAAAGTTTAAGAAATTCCTTTTTCTTAYGCAGTTTCATAACAACATTTGCACTTAATCTGTCTCCTCTGTGTAGATGCAGTTCAAAKTAGTAACTTGGGCATCCTCCAAAAAGCAGTGCATCCCATCTTTTTAAAACTTCTTGCTTCTAAATGGTTTTTCACTAACTCTAGTAATGAGTCCTTTGTGCTGTATCACCTTGTGCTATCATTTTGTGGATCAAAGTGAACTTTTCCCTGACTGTTTTGTGTCCCTGGATGRTTTGAAGACACACAGTAGGTAACACTTTCTCTACCAGTGCTTTCTGAGGTGAGGAGAGCTGCTGTTCTTTAAACCTTACTGACAATAAAAACAAATGAAGGTTCAAATCTCGGTATTTTAGAATCATTGTTAGGTGGAGTTTTTTAATTGTTTTCCCTATACAAATAATTTTATCTGTAAAACCTAGGGGCAATATCAAGCAGTGATTTTGGGGGTGATCTGAGATGGTTTTGGCTTGCTGTGGAAGCAGATGTCTGCTCCTGGCTTTGTATGGAACCACTGTACTGGGCAGAGTTTGGATTCACTCACTTATATCATGAGTCAGCAAAGCTCATCCATGCTTTTAAACACAAACAGTTTTCTGGTAATCAGCAGGACTCAAAGGCTGGAATTTAGAAAGAAATATAAGTATCTTGTTAAAAAAAAAAAAAAAGCAGCAAGGCAAGGAAAATCCTCCTCTATTCTGATAATAATATACTTGCTGTAAAACCTGTTTGTGCACCCACCATGGATCATTTYAAGTGAACACTTTGCTGCTCAAATAATTCTGGTTAACTAAAAACTGTTATTAGTGGCAATCATGCTGGACAAAARGGTATTTTGAAAGGACATAGATTATGAGATGTTATAACTGCTGAAAAAGCTGTTTTCTGTAAATAGATTCAACAGAACATATTGTCCAAAAAAGACAGAAAAAGCAGCTGAATAACTAAATGAACTTCTCAGGACTGGTTTTGGCAGTTCACTTGCCATGCTGGTCTGGGAGGTTGCAGTGAGACATCTTTGACATTTTTACCGAGTTTTAGAATTACTGCCTGTCAATATTTCATTGACACTGAGCACCRTTCCCATGAAATTTAGCCTTGTACAGTTATAGAGAGTTCATAATCCTATTATCTTCTTGAAAAACTGTGAAGTTCTCAGTTACTGTGGTTTACTTTCTAGGATGGGGAAACTGGAGAATTTTATAGACTTGGGCTGACAAATCAATAAAATATTCATCTGAGTCATTCTATGGGGAATGTGAACTGCAGGTGCCTCTGGTTTAAGTTGCAGTAACTCAGCTGGGACACAGGAGTTTGACTCAAACAGAAATTGCAGACTTCATTCTTAGGCCTCCAAGTTTTTTGGGGGCAGTGGTCTTGCTCTCAGAGAGCCCTGACCTTGCATTGTTTGGGAGATTGATGAGGTGAAGCACAGAGTGCTACAGCTTCAGGCATTTCTCTAATACTTTTTCTATTCCTGTAAAATCAGACTGGTTTTGGCACAGCAATCCCTGCAGATGGGCCCAGCTCACTGAGTTTCTGTGTGTTGTCTCTTGGTCTTGTGTCCAAGATGTCTTTTGTCAGGGAAGCAGTACCCTCAGCTGAGTTTAACTCTGAGTTTGTTCCTCTTTGGAAGACCCTGCTGTAGCATATCCTCAATTATTTTAGAACTTTTTTACATACAGAAGGAGTCAGAGGACCGCATGTTCAATATTTTAGCTGGGGTTTTGCACTGCTTACTTCTTGTTCCCTTGGAKTGAGGTCTTTGTAAGGAAGTAACTCAATTCCTTCCCCTTTCCATGCTGTGTTTGGTGGTTTTGCTATCCTACTGCTCTACTCTGACACCTTGAAGATGTGTTTTAAACACAGGTGGTCGCAGTGGGATCACCTGTGTGTGGCCACACACGAGGTGTAGTATGAGCATAATTTCATTCTTTATTACTKCATTCTCAAGATTTTGTTTTTGTTTTTTACCAAATAATTGAGAAATTCATTTCAGAAGAAGGCCATGCATTTCTCATGACCACTGGAGCACTTGAAATTGCTTGCAGCTGGCATTTTGCCTCCACTGACTCTGGGTTGGTGATGGGCATGCAAAGAATAGCTTGGAAATCAATGTCTAAGTTAAGAGAGTGTGATCTCACAGTGATTAGAAATTCAGAATTGGAAATTAGAATTCAGAATTGGAAATTCTGCAGTGCAAGCTTTGTCCGGGTTTGAATGAAGTGTAGTTACTAAACAGCAATTTGAGATTTGAGAAAGGTGTGTGTGTGTGTGTTTATATATAATCTATACACAGAATAGATTTGTTTGCTATTTCTTTTTATTGTACTCTTCACCTTGGAATATTTGTGTCTAGCATGCACAGTGAACAAGGTGAGTAGGGCTCTATCCCAACACAATTCTCCTTCCACGCTCAGTAAATATTTGATCTCTGTTGAGACTGGCACCTGTTCCATAGGCAGGGAAGTGAATCCAGCCTGTGTTTTGTTTGTCCCAAGTGTGAGAATTTCCGGGCTAGCAAGGACGTGTACCACAGCAGCTCCCTGTCAGACATGGTGACAGCCCCGCTCAGCCCCGTGCAGGACGATGTGTTCTGGAGCACGAGCCACARCGAAGAGCAGCCCCCAAAGGTGGGTGGAACTCGGGGTGTTTGGCTCTCTCAGGAGTTAATTTCACTGTGCTGTGAGTATCCCCACTCTGCACTTTGTGAAACTCTGAAAATCTCCTTGCTTTACATGAACTGGGTYGCTTTAATCTAGAAAATATAAGAATTTACAAGCAGGTTGGTGGTTAGGTTTATGTGTATGTGTATAATAATATCTGCAGGATCTGTGATTGCAGACACACCTCTTTGTTAGACCAGGTATTYGTAGCAGTCCTTTTGGTGAAAAATCTGGCTTGTTGCAGAAAATCTTGTTAGTTTGTGTAATTGAGGTGATGGTCTCTTTCTAACAGAATTTCTAAAAACAAGTCAGACTATTTGAGCAGGGGTACATAAGTCTATGTGTGTATTTATTTTATCACTTTGCAATTGGGGGTGTCTGTGTCTCATTCCCCAGCCTGTGGTGGCAATATAAGGTAATCCTCCASCTGGGGAAAGCAGCAGTGACTTTCACTGTCTGCTTTAAATACTGACCAGGAGTGATGCTGGCTCTGAGGAAATGTGCAAATCTCTCTCTGACTGAACCCTGATAGACTGCCCAGGCTTGGAGCAAACTAAGAATCATCATGGAATACCTCCCCACAGGTCCCACCAATCCATTGCTCATTTCTGTTGGTTAGTCTTATTTTTCATTGATACAGGTTAAGCGTTGGGTTTATTGACTGAATCTAAAATATTAACAGCAACCTTCAAATGTTTGATTAAATCCTCAAGGTTCCAGAAAGGACAACCTCAAAATTCTACAGCAGGGATCAGCCAGGCCATCAGAGATGCCTTTCAAGGTAAGCTCTAAATTGTTTTATGATTACACTAAAACAAAACTTACACTGTTTGCTTTCTATACTCACACTGTGCTTATACTGTGTATTATGCTTAAACTAATTGTTTTATGCTACTTTATCCTCAATAGTAAAACTAAAGCATCTGGTAGATGCACCTCAGTGCCAGTGGCATTGGTTTCAGAGGAGAGTCAGGGGTCTGGATGCTTTGGTGGGAGGTAGTCTGGTCCCAACTCCTTGTGCAAGCACTTTTAATTCCAGCTTGTAGTGCTTGTTTTGCCTGGTAGGAGCTTGAACAGGCAGCCTGTGGATGTATCTTGACAATTTTGGCAGTCTGCCCTTAAGGCTGGTGTACTTTTTTCACATCCCAGGAGAAAAGACCAAGGATGTCTAGARCTCAGCAGTAAAGGGCAGCTCCCACTGGATGTCTAATCAGGAAACAGAATGGGTTGGAGAGATTGGAAAGTGAAGTAGATTTAGCTGAAATRACAAAATGATGTGCAGCATTTCTGATGAGCCAAAGTCAGAAACATCATCTGAAATAACTTTCAAGTGAAGTCAAGCCCTAAATGCTCTCCACTTGGGAATTACAGGAGGCAAAGCAGACAAGAAGCATATAAGTAATTGCCAATGTTACAAGTGAGTGGCTTCTGTGACAGGGTTTCTGGCTGAACCACTGRCTTGGCAACTGATTTTACTGCTCAATGCATTCCTTTCTCCACTGATAAGTGGCTGCTGATGTGTCTTCTAGGAAGGTAGTGGAGCAGTTTTCTTTAGCTGTAAGTGCCATGAGATTTTGGAATCAGGACTGACACGTGTCGGYAGAGTCCAAGGGAGATGTAATATAGAAGGTTATTTTGTAATGATTCAGAAATCTCTGTAATGTCCCAGGAWGAGTGCCCAGAGGAATCTGTCCCTTCCATCATCTTCTCTCACTCCTGGGTGGCCCTGCTTGGAGCAGCAAYGAAGATAAAGCTTTTCATTATCCAGAGCATGATCTCATGCTGTAACCGCAGGGAGCTGGATCCAGTGGCCCAAGAGCTCGGTTCCAGTCTCTGCTCCTTCCTGCCCAGCAGAGTCTGATCTGCTTTTTGTCTCTGTGTTCAGTGCCACTCACCAGGCAGCCCCCGGGGGACACGCTCTGAAGCTGAGCAGTGGCAGCAGCACTCCTGGCACCAAGCAGTGGGAGATGGGATCTCATCAGAGCAGCTGGTCAACCTCAGGTGATTGCTAAGTCAAAGATTCATCAGTCAAAATGCACTGAACTCCTGTCACAGTAAATGGTCTCCTGCAGGGTGTCAAGTTCTGCACTGCGAATGGGATGTGTCCTTTTAATGATCTCTTCTGGTGAGAGGCTTTTGAGAGCCTTCTGGGTTTTATGGTTCTGTGTTCCTAAAATATAAGCACTTCCTCTTTTGAGTCGGGAAAGTGACTGTGAATATATTTTCATATAGAAAATTTGAATTGCCTCCGTTAAGAATTGAAAAAAAAAATAATTTCTGTTGCAGTTACTGATGCARTTGAAACTCAGCAGAGACAACATTCCAGACATACAGATGTAATTCAGTGCTAATGTTCACCCATTGGCAAATTCTGCTCTTTGCACTGCCCGCTGATCAGATGATACACTTGAGCAGCTGATGTGCACCAGTATTTCTGCATTCTTAATGTACTGGCTRAAAGAAGCATAAGTCTCTCTCTACAGCACCTTATGAAATATTCTTCCAGTATTCTTTTCTTTTCAGAAAGATTGTGGATTTTTTTTTAAAGGGCAAAATAAGTGAAAACTTCATCTGATGTAGGTGAACTACAGCTTAGTAAGCTCCTTTYTCTGTCACTCGTGGTGTAGGAATGCAGCTGCTCACTCATGGTTGTAAAGGTTTTTGCAGTACAGACTCTGGTTCCTGAGCCTCTGGCACACAGAGAAGTGGACATTTCTGTTCCTCCCTTGCTGTTCCTGTGGGTGCTGCAGAGCAGTTTTTGTGCAGAGCTGTGGTGTCACCAGGCCCTGCATTCAGCTTGGCCACTAAAGATTGGGAACCACGCAGTGGGGAATCACACACACCCAAGGCAAAGCAGGGTGGATGCAAAAAATATTCTGAAACCACCCCTGTGTTCTTCTGAGGTAATTTATTTTTATATTGAGGTTTACATTGTTAATTTAAAAGCCCTTGATAAATGAGGAACAAATTGCTTATTTATTACACTTACACAATCAAGTCAGTTTTGCTTTTACTAACAACACAAAAAAGGAAGCTTTTCTTCAAGAAAAATCCAGAGCACACTTTAAATTGCTTGGGTTTTGTTTCTTTTTGCTCTTATGTCATTTTGTGTTTGAATAACAGAGTTGAACAACATGCAACAGCCCCGCTCAACTTTGCACAGTCCGCGTGATGTGTAACTCCTGTGCTATTTTGGCATGGGGAAACGAAAATCTCACCAGCAATGGAAAGAATAGAAAACCTCCCTTGTGGTTTAAACTGTCTCCTTGAGTTCTTAAGWGTCATTAAATTACAGCTAGTTCTGGCACATGGCGTTTCAGATGGAGTTTGTTGCTTTCCCAAACCCACAGGGATAATGAATTGGACAGGAAAGGGCTATAAATACTTTAAAGCTAATAGTTCTGCTGAGTTGCTTAGGTGCTTATTGACCAGTGAGGAATTCTGAGTTTTGAAAGCTTTGCAAAATGCATGAAGACATGAAACCATTGTGACAAACTATCTAAATTACCAAACAATTTGTGTGAGCTCGAATTCTCCCCCCTTAACTTGCACGAAGAGCTGCTGCTAACAATGTGTTTTCATGGGAGAAACTGCTGACAAAGGCAGGTGTTGAGCTGGCCAGTGAGTCCCAGGGCAGAGAGAAGGTGCAGTGGCCTCCCCTCCCTCCCTTGTGTCAGGATTGTGTGCAGACCATCCCTTCAAGGCTTCTGTTGCTTTTCCCAGTGCTTGCAGGCAGCGGGGGGCCCACATGGAACAGGAAGATTGGCAGTTTAATGCAGCTGTTTGCCCTCAGCCCAGCTGGGTTTAGTTAATCAGACTCTTCAGACTGTTTTTGTGTAACAGTTGTAGGAGAGCCAAATCTTGGCAGTGCCTCTGTTTTCTCCCAGAGGTGTGCAGGGGTGCTCAGCTCCTGAATCCTGCCCTGAGCCCTGTCTGCAGTCCCTGGGTACAGCTGGTGGCCCTTGCTGATGTGGTGCATTCTCTCCTCAAGAGGAGGATCAGAAAGGAATTAGGATGCCCTCACCTTTTTTTGCAGTGGGTGCATTCTTCCTCATCTTCCTCTTGCAGCATTGAACTGCACCAGTATCAATTTATGGACATAATATTGCAGCATCTAGGGCCTCTGGGAAACAAGCAACRAGAATTTCCTTTGCAACAAAGAGGAAAGAGAAGTTTGTCAGCAGAGGCTGGTGTCTGCTTTGTGTTCTTGTCTTGCTCTCTCACCCTCTGCTCATACACTTAAAAAAAGAAACTTTTGCATTTTTTTATCCACAGGGAATCCAGGACTGGCCAAGGCAGAGAACCTTTTGTCCCAGAACCACGTGCAGCTGCATCAGAAGCCTGAAAAAGCTTCTCATCCAGGCCAGATTGCAGTAGGTTCTTTTAAATCCACTGATATTTATGCTTTGCCCATGGTTTTCACCGAGGGTCTGCCTGTGCAGACAGCTCTGTTTTGGTGCCTGAGTTTGCTGTCACTCATGAGTCCACCTGAGGGGTGTGTGGGGCTGGCTTGAGCTCACTGCTCAGTCCACCTCAGGTCCTCAGCAGGGTCCAATTTTGGCTCAGATCACTCTCCTGTGTGAGATACCCACCTGTGCTGGACCAACAGAAGCATCACCTTCCTCATGAAGCTTYTTTTGGTGTGGCAGTGACAATAACTGTTTATGCTGGGACAGTAAAATACAGCACATGGTGTTTAACAGTGGTTCCTTCAAATGAATTCTTTTTGCTCAGAGTCCAGGCTCCTTCACCAAGGTGAAGGACAGTGCCAACTCCTTGCTGAAAGCAGCAGACTATTCCTCCTCGAGTGATGAAGTCAGCAGCAGCAGCAGCAGCAGCGATGAAGATGACACAAACCATACAAGGTTGGCATTATTATTATTATTATTATTATTATTATTGTGATTATTATTATTATTTTCTTGTTACACACTTCTAAATACCTACAAAAGCTGGCATGCACAAATACTAACCTTTCTTTGAAGTTTCTGTCAGTCATTGCTGTCAGTTGTAATTAAGCAATTTAATCTCATTTTAATGAACTCCTGGGGGTGAATSTTTGCTCCATCAGATGTGCACAGCATAAGAAGCTTTGATGACTTGCTGCCCTGGGACAACGAGGAAATGTCTTGTTTTAAGTGGTTATACTGGGTAGTTCCTTTATAGGAATTACTTCATATTGATCTTCATTTACATGAAATTTTTGAAAGAAAAAAGCAGCAGGAAATAAAACTGTAAAAACTGTGTGTCTTCATGCCAAATGCAGTTTACACTGGAGAAAACAAGGCGAACGTGACCCTTGAATTTGTGTTGTCTGTTTACTCTGGGAAAAATAATCACCACTGGGAAGCTGATTCCTTCACTAGGGCTGTTTATATAAAAATGGGGGATAGTTTTGTAAATGTGCTGTGTTTTTGATACTGACACTTTGCACAATTGCTGTGGTTTCCAGCTGATGCCGTGGCTTGTCCCAAGCTGATCTCACCTGAGCTGTCTCTCTAGTTCTTTCCTGTTTATCTCACTGATTTTGTGAGTGACATCTTGTGGTGTTCTACCTGTCATGCCRAATGAGTATTCTGCTGAGAAACAGTGGAGCAAGAGTAGCTTGCTAGTCCCAGAGAAGGGASTCAGGGTCACTTGGCCACCCCTGCTGTTAGGAACAGCAAACAGAAACACTTTTTAGTGCTGATGAATGAAACTTCTGATTTTCTTGCAAAGAGACTTCAGTTTAATTCAAGTTCTAGGATTTACTTTGAAGTGCATCCCAGGGCCACAGAGCTCTCTGGGCTGGGGCTCTTGCTCTTCTGACAGAATTACACATGCAGTTTTGTCAGGCTTCAGGCAGAGATGCCCAGATTTGGAGCATTGTTGGCAGGTTGTTGTGTTGGCCTGGTACCAGTCCTTTCCCCTGTGCTGCTCTGAAGAGGTAGAATTTGTGTGTGTGCATATGCTCCTGATTTGCATTTCTGAGTTTCGTTTTCAAAGCTGAGATGAGGAGAGAGAATGTTAAAAATCTTGTAGCTTATTCAGTGCACCTGAAAGAGCTGACTTTTACTGCAGTGCCTTTATTTTCCTACTGCTCCTCTTCCAAACCACCTTATTCTGATCTGTAAAAAGTTTTATTCACTCTAGGTCATAGAATTCATCCTAGGCCTCAGAAAGACTCTGCATAAAAATATGGATTTGCCCTGTAGCAATGACTTTGCTGTGTGTTAGATTGCTATGCTCTGTGCAAGCTGTAATGGTTTGGAGGAGCGGTGTCACTGATTTTGGAACTCTGTGTGTGTTATTTGCCTCTCCTGTGTGTGTGAGATCACCCATCCTCTGCAGGGCTGCAGGGTGCTCCCTGTCTCCTTGGGTTTCCTGTGCACACAGCCACTGCAAGAACCCCTTAAAATCAAAGTTATCATCTTGCTGTTAACAAAGTCCCTTCACCTTGGCTGAACATCATTTATATTAAAAGATACTTTGGGAAATATATCCTGATTGCTGCTAAGTAAACAGCAAAAGGATAGTGATCAGAATACAAGGAGCAGCCAGCACTGAAACTTTGCATATTCTGGTTAAAGTGAAGGATTTGGGGTTATTTTGCTCTCTGAAGCAAGTGACTGGAGGATCTGAAGCCCCTTGCACTCTGGAGTGTTTCTGTGGAGGCTGTGGCTGAAGCACCTTGGGCCAAGTTTTAGTTGGCTACTGAACACAATTTGTGTTTTGCTGCTCTTCCCTGGGCTGTGGAACAGCACCTGGTGTCCACACTCCAGCTTCCCAGCACAACTGCATTTGGGACATAAGCAAGAGAGCTTCCTGTTCCCTTGGCTGAATCCTGTTACCCACCAGAAGGCTCATTTCCTCATTTCTGAGGATGCTGGACTAAGGGCTGTTGTCTTTCACCACCAAAGGAACTTCTGATCTTGTTAGTCTTTACACTGAGATGAGCCAGAGTTCTTCCTCACACACTCCAGGTTTCTGTTTTCAGGAAAGAGTGTCAGTGTATATAATCTGGTGTTTTACTCCTTTTACAGCACATCTATTCATTGATGTTAATTTCTCCTGCTTTACTGAGAGCTCTTCCTCCTCTGATGCCTGCAGTATTCACAGTGCCTCTAAAACACTGAGCATTCTGGGACTCATTTGTATAGCTCAGTTTCCTCTCTCTGCTCTTTAAATGCTGTTTCCTACCAGCATTTGGACAAGGTGGATGCAGGTGTGTGCTTGGCTAGGAATTAYTTTCTCCCTCTCCTAAGTGGGAGGTTGACATTATTTAAGATCAGCTGCTGTTTGTTCCCTGATAAGAACAGGTCCTGGCATTCACCACTGATCCYACTCCACATCTTATCATTCCTTCTGAGTTTAATATGCAAATATTTATCCACTCTCATGGAATGGGGGGACAGTCCAGAACAGTAAAATAAACAACAAAAAGTGCCACAAAACCATCTACTCCTACACACCCATCTTAACTCAGTAGGTCTCTCACCAGACCTTCTTTATTATTACATGGGACATCATTTAAAAGAAAAAAATACATTACAGTCTGCTACCAATTGGCACATTGCACTGTAGAGCCCTTCACACCAGCGTCYTGAATCCAGTCAGTTTTATAATTACTGGAAAGGAGACAAAAATGCAATGGGCTCAAATGGATTGCAGTAATAAAGAAATGAGTATAAATAAATAAATGGGATAAATAAATCATGTGAGGTGGAAGTGTACAGAAATGGGGCCAAGAGCCTCACTGACAGAAGTTTGAAGTTGTTCCACTTGGGTGAAAAAGTTTGAAATGCAAAGATACCTCAGGCAGTCCAGGAAGGAGTGATGTGCTGGGAATTCACAGCAGACTCTGGCCTTGTTCTCACTCTGCTTTTGGTATCAGCTTTTGGTCACTATTGAGGGCAGGATGCTGAGCTAGGGGGGGATTTTGGCTGCAGCCAGTCCAGTAGCTCTTCCTTTCTTCTGTCTCTGCACTGGGCAATGTTTTCTGTGTTTGTAAGGTGAGGATGTCCCTGTTTCACGGGATGATTCACAGGATGAAATTCCAGTGTAGCCCGTCCCAGCAGGCATGGGCAGCAAGGTCCCTGACAGCAGCACATGGCAGAGCAGCTGCTGCTCTCTCTGGAGAGCAGGGTGGCTCGGAATTACACCCCACAGGGGAATGTGTGAGGGCAGACAGAAGTTTTGAAGCAGGCACTTCTCAAATGACAGCCAGGGGAGCTTGCCTGAGCTRTGCAGTGTGTGAAAGATGATGGATGAAATTCAGGGAGATGAAGGGATGTTCTGTGTCGAGGTGGGGAGAGCTTCCTGCTGTGTGTGAGTGGTCCTCAGGCACAAGTCCATTCAGGCAATCCACAGACTAATCAGCTTCCTTTTGTACAAGAACCTTTGAGTGTTAACTACTGAATGTTAATTATGTTCACTTTTGAACATGGATATGTGTGGTTTTTTCCTGTTTTTTTCCTTTTTTTTTTCCTTTTTTTTTCCCCTGAAGTAGTTCTGTTCATTAATTGGAGTTTGTTACCAGGCAACTGCTGAGCAGCAGAATCGCCGAGTTCTCAAGGACRAGGGTACCAGATGGAATTGAACTGAAACCCCAAAGCACTGTGGCAGAACAGAAGGTAATTTGGCCATTTGTACGGGGTGGGTGCAGTGAGGGGGAGTCAGATCTTTAATGTGCTTGATAAACTCTGTATCCCTTACTTCGTGRTCACATTCTCACTCTGAAGTCCTGCTCTGTCATTGCAAATTACAGCTGTAAGCCTTGWAAAAAAGGTGTAGTTTCAGGTTTGTGCTTCCTGTAAAAATGCTCACATTTGGGTACAAGGTTGCAGGTCTTTATTTGTCCTTGTTTTTGACCTGCAGTGGTTTTTGATGTCAAGATATTTTGTGAAGGCACTGGGCAWAGAGCAATACTGTTGATTGTTGTTGGTGTTCATTTTTGCTATTTTTAGAAGTCTTGACTTCCTTTTATTCCAGTTTAAAGAGAACTACCTCCTCCTGCCTAAAATATTACCAGAACAGGGGAAAACCACTTCATCTCTCCCTCCTGGCTTAGCAAAAATACTTRTCTTCTCATATGTCATGTTGTGGTTCCTTCCAGCTGCAGTTTTTAGCAGAGGCTTCCAGTCATGTGGATTTTACCCTGTGATAAATATTAGCACAGAAAAGATGAAGAGAGACAAAGCAGAACAATGTTCTTTGTGGTTGAAAACAGGAAAAAAATTAGAGTAATAAGACTCTTAGTCAGCGTCAGGGCCCTTTTCAGATGTTACTGAGTGTATTCTTGCTTCAGATAGGGAAAATAAATGGCTCTGAAACCAGTGTTTTCTCCAGAGCTTGGCAGGGCTAGAAAGAATAAGTTTTCTTTACCTGTGGTGTGATTTCTAAGCTTCAGACCAGAGTGGGAACCCTCTTGACTCAGGGAGGAGTTGTTCCACAGGGCCTTGTCCCACCATCCTCGAGGAGAAAAGACTCTGCTTTGGAGAAAGAACAATAAACAGGGCAGGAACCAGTATTGCTCTTGTGGTAAAACCAACCCAGTCTCCCCTTTCCCCTGATGTTCAGATATTGGAAATTGGCTGTTTGAGGGAAGGGAGAATGTTGGGGTCTTTGAGCCCAGGCTGAGGGAGGAGGGAAGAGCTGAGGTTGTGTTTTGCTGGGTTTGGAGAAAAGAATGTGGGAGAGAGAGCAGGCTGACACTTCCCATAAATCCCTGCTCCTTCTCTTCTCCTCTCATCCATTCCTCTGAGCCCATTTTCACCCCCCAGCCACAGCCACTGAGGGTCTCCACAGCTTCTCCAACATCATCAGCATGAACTGCTTTGAAGTGGTTTGGGTGTACCAAACTGCCCAARTGATTCAAATGGGGATTTGGTTTGGTTTAGTTCAGCAGAATGTGACTGAAAACTGAACAAAAAAGCCCCATACTGGCTTTGTTCCCTAGTCTCAAACACTGACTTGCATGTTTTGGTTTCAGGTTTTGCATCTAAATTAAAACGTGAGATACTTTCCGCATCGGTTTTATTTCTAGTTAGTTACTTGACTTCTAAAAGGCAAATATCTATCTAGAATTATCTTACTTTTTTTCCCCCATCTTTTGGCCAGCTGATCTGATTTCAGTGGGTTGTTTATCAGCCAGTACAATGCACAGTCTTGCCTTGAGTTCTACCAGCCAGRAGTTGCTGCAGTTGGCTGGTGCTTTTTGCTTTGGTGGGTTTCAGCAGGGATTTTCTGCTGTATCACTTGGGTCCCATCACTGTCCACATTCCAGTGCTGATGGTGCTCAGTGCCCTCTGCACTTCCCTCCCCATCTGGGACAGCTCCTCCTTTGCACATCGTGTGTTCCTCTCAACACTTGAGCCATGTATTCCCAGAAAACCACCTCTGATTCTGCAGATTGTGCTTTCAGGGAGAGAATTTGTGTGGTACCTCACAAAACGCACAAGAATTTCCATGGGATGCTCTAAGGAGGTCTGCAAACCAAACATCACTGTACTGGAAATGCTGGTGCTGGATCCCAGTAAATGTCCTCCTTCTGGAATAAGGTTTCCTAATTCAGTAAATGCAAAGTAGCARTGAAATGAGTGGTGAAGAGCTTTGAACTAAGTGCAGGTCCTGAACCAAGAAKTGCCTACTTCTGTCTGCAGAATGCCAAGGTCAGGTCTGTAACTTGTTGGGGCAAATGGTTTCACTTTGTGTTCCTGAGGCTGAAGTCCTTACTTTTTCTGTGATTGAGGTAAGGTAGATGAAGGATATTTGTGGAGCACTTCAGGAGTAAAACCCAACATTTTCATCTTACTTYTTGCCATATACTTTGGTATTTATTTTTTTTATTTTAATCTTGCCATAGGGTTTGCCTTTAARTGATGCATCAGGGAGGGCATTCCTCCCCATGTGCTCATTATTTACCATCCTAATTAACTGGAATAGCAGAGTGCACTGGAAATACACTAAATGTGGTGTTTAACTGTGTGTTCTCATGCAGGATCAGATTTTAGGGAAACAGATTTCTAACACCCAAGAAGGCCTTTGGAGCATAAACAACCAGAATTATCTCCTGCCAGATCTCCTCCAGCAAAGCCAAATTACAGAATCCTCTGTGAACCCGCCTCAAGTGCCACTGACYTGCCAGGAACCTCAGAACAAACCCCTGACCAAGGTAAGAGATAAATTACAATTGACTGGGTTCAAGTCCAACCCTTTTAAGTTCCTCTATTCTGTCTCTTTTTACAATGAGTTTTTTTACCACATCCCTTCTTTAAAAGTTTTTTTCTGGGCAGCAGATAAGGAATCTTGAGCTGCCTAATCAATTTTATTGTTCCATTTACTTTCCCCCATCTCCTTCTCTGTTCCTTTTCCTTTCCTTGCTTGTTTTCTCCCCCTTTACCCAAGCTAGAGGGCTCACACCCTCTCTCTTTCACCTGCCATGGCAGTGCTCTGGTGTGGCTCTGATCATTATCCTGGGTTTTCTGCCACCCAAGCATGGTGTGGGAGAGCACAGAGGGGCTCTGGCCGTGTTTTCTGCCACCCAAGCATGGTGTGGGAGGGCACAGAGGGGCTCTGGCCGTGTTTTCTGTCACCCAGGCATGGTGTGGGAGAGCACAGAGGGGCTTTGGCCGTGTTTTCTGCCACCCAAGCATGGTGTGGGAGAGCACAGAGGGGCTCTGGCCGTGTTGTGAGCACAGGCTGGGGGGCAGAGGTGGCACTGGGGGCAGGTGACAGCTCTGCCAGGGCACTGCAGCACCGTGTGCCCCGAGCACTGCCTGCCTGAGACATTTCTCCCGTTTGTCATTGCAGARCCCCTGTGCTGAGAGCCCCCCTGCCAAGAGCAGCACATCCTCCACAACATCCTTCACATCCTTCATAGACCCACGGCTCCTGCCCATCACCCCTCCCACCAGTCCTGTCGGACCTTCCTGTAGTTCTCGTGAGTACGCTTAGCCTTTGAATAAAAATCTCCCTCCAGGTTTCTTTTTTCTTTTTTTTTATCTGTCAGGAGTGGGGGAGGGCTTATTGCCTGGAAATGGAAACTGTGAGTAAAACACCCTGAAACTGGAACTTCGTGTTACTGCGAATTTTCGTTGTGCTGCTTCTGCCCTTCTTTCAGATGGGGYTTGCTGTATTCTGCTGCTCACATTCTGTTACCAAGAACTGTGGGTACAGCTGGCTAGAGTCGTTGCAAAAAAAAAAAAAACAAGCCATTACTGGAAACAAAACAGCAAAGGGCAAAAATCAATTTGTTACTAAGTTTAATAAACAGATGCTATTCATGCAAATTAATTGAAATATCATTAGCATTCCTATCCCGTTCTCATTTAATCTGAAAAAGTCCTATTTAATTTTGAAATTGAATCATTTGCTCAGCCACAAATTTGTAAAGGTTTACTCAGCTAACTGTATTTGAGTGAGTACTTCCATGACTTGAGTTTATGAGTGAAGAACAGGACCTTCAGAGCTGCTGAGGACATCGGTGGATTCACCACCCACATCTAATCCAGTCCTGTACCTCTCACACAACCACAGGCACATCAGTGAACTCCAACAAGTGCTTTCACACTAAGAATCAGAATATTTAAATTAATTTTAAAAAAAAATCCTGTCTAGGTATCTTCACATTGATTTTTCTTCCTTTGCAGGGATTTTTAAAATTGTGACTTTAGCAGATTAAGGGCAACCACTAGAATAATTCTGAAGTAATTTTAAATGAACATATTATATTTGCACAACTGAGGAATTGTCCATATTTTTTTTTTCTGTACAAACAAAGCTCTCAGGGTGTTTTGTCACCCCCTTTTCATTCTCCCACAAACAGATCAGTATGAGATGTAGCCTAACGCTCACCTTTTCCATGATTTCGTGTCTTTCATTGCAGCATCTGGTGCCAAACCTGAGCCTGTCAGGAGGGAAAATGCGAGGAAGGGCTCTGTTGTCAATGTCAACCCAACCAATATCCGCCCCCAGAGTGATAGCCCAGAAATCCGTAAATACAAGAAGAAATTCAACTCCGAGGTGCTTTGTGCTGCTCTGTGGGGTAAGCTGGGGGTCYTTGGGTGGTGTGTGGAGGGAGGGCACAGCAGGAGAGGCTGGAAATGTCTGCTGGGCAGATTCCACAGCTCTGTTAGGGCTCTCCTGGCAGAGGCTCCCAGGGTGGATCCCTGAGCTGATCCCTGTGTCACTCACATGGCACTGCTGTCCCCAGGACGAGATGGCAGACACAGAACTTAGAGCTGGAAAGGGCTTTGTGCATCAGGATGAGAAAATGTTTTGATCAAGCACCAAGCTGAAACCATGCTTGCTGGGAGAGGCAAAAGATGCAAATATTTCAGCAGCTTTTGAAGCTCWTGACGCTCATCTGAGCTGCACACGAGCACAGCTGAGCACAGAGCYGTGACTCAGTGGAAATAATCCAAACATGAAGCCTTTTGCTGTTGTGTGTGTTAGATATTCCAAGGATCCACAGCAGGTCAGGTCCTTCCAAAAGTTTGCCTTGCTTAGTTCCTGCTGCCAGTGCTTATTCTGAACCTCAGAGATTCTGAATTGTTGTTCAAACTGTCATGCTTTTGTCAGGGTCAGCTTCGCATGGAGTAAAACCAAGATACAGCAGGCAGACCACATCTCAGCACCTGTAGACCTTGTCCCAGTTGCATATTACCTGAACTCTTGAGTTGTTTTAACCACCTTTCTCCTTCAGAAGAGCAGATGTATTCTATGGGACTCACCCAGCCTTTTGCTCCTCACTTTTTGAGCCTGGAAARGCAGATTAGTGAAGTAGATGGAACATTATCCAGAGCAAATGTAGATTTCCAGTTTATGGCTTCACAGATTTTGCATAATGTGTGTTTGTAGGAATCCAAAATTTGAAATTAAGAACAGAGCTGTTTGGCAAGGCCTGTAATTAAATGTGCATTGAGGCTGAAGAGCACCAGGTACTTGTCAGAGCATTGCCAGTGGAGGAGGGTGCTTGTTCCAGCAGGATACCTTATGTCGTGTCTTTAGAACCTGCTGATTAGAAATGTAGCTGTCATTCCAGCCAGACATGATTCCTGACATTCTCTGATGTCAGCAACCCACTGGAGCCTTCCCTTCCCTAGCTGCAGTTGGATTTTGGGTGGATTCATTCCTTAATTTGGCATTTGGAGACATTCTCCTAAAACAGAGACTGTTTTCAGACAAATCCTGCACCTCCTTGTGACAGCAGTGCTTCTTGCCACAACTTTGGTTCCCCCGTGATTTGAACGTTGCRTTTGGAAAAAGAGCGTTTGGGAGGAATTTTTTTGTTGTTTTTCTTTTTTTTCCCTTAATTGATAGGGACCCTTAAAACACAGAGTTGGGTCTTTTGTGTCACCATTGTAATGGTGCTGCACTGGGATTTTTGCACTGGTCACAGGTACTTTCCAAGGTCACCTGAGAAGTTCAAGTTCACAGAATATTTTCCTTTTTTGTTTAAACCAACACTGATTTCAGTAGAGCTACTCATCCTTCAGGTTCCGTAGGTATGCAGGTGTTCTGCTGAGTAAAAGCTCTAATAGTGAGATCTTTTTTTCTGGGAGGTCATCCACAGAGCAAAAGAGATATTATCAGGTRCCATTAAGTGAGATTAAATAGAAATCATCTCTCAAAACAATGAGCACTCAGTGACCTCTGAATCATTAGGTGACTTATGCAGTATTTTTYTCATGTATCGACAGGAGTAAATTTACTGGTGGGAACAGAGAATGGATTGTGGCTGCTGGACAGAAGTGGGCAAGGAAGAGTTTATACRCTGATTACAAGGAGACGGTTCCAGCAAATGGATGTTCTGGAAGGACTCAATGTGCTAATTACTATATCAGGTTGGTTCAGTGGCTAAAAGTATCTGACCTGTGTTGGGGTTGGAAGCAATTAAAAAGAAAAATTAGGTTATAAAGTAGGTTGAGGAATTTCCTCTTTCAGAAAATCGCAGGACAGTTATTCTTGTTAATAGGAAAACTCTCCTGAATTTTTAACATTTGCGCTCTCATTCCAGAGTGACTTTGGGACAATTCATTATATGGTTAATGTGTAAAAGCGTTTGTGGGAAATACAGAGTGTTTCCTGTTCCTAAAATGGACTGATTTTCTTCAAGCTGYAGTTTGTCACTTTTCTTGTTTCTGTGATGGGTGAGCATCCATCTAAGTGCAGTTCTATTAAAACATCATGAAATAACCTCATCCTGTGTTCAACAGGAGCTGTGAGCAGTAACATGAGAGGGATCTGTGTTGTGAAAGCAYCAGTAGCATTAAATGGAGGTCTTCAACCTCTGCTGGGAAACAGCCATGGGGAGTATGGTCAGAGTCCAAACTGAGAGTGTCCTCAAAGGACGCACAGTGGGGTCAGAGGTGTGGCCCAGCCAGGAATGGCAGCTCCCTGTCCCCAGCCTGGACTCACACGGTGGGCAGTGGCAAGAGCTGCTTGTCCTGTGCTGCCAGATCCTGCTGGTGCTGGGACAGGACACAGTCCTTGTCTTCAGAGCATCCTGAGGTCCCACAGGGCTGCTGGCCATGGGTGCTTATAAGCTAATGCAACAGAAAGGGTGACTGAGGTGAAGGATGACAAAATAATTCTCATCTGGAAAGGTGTTCAAAAGAAAAAGCTGCTTTTAATGAAGATTGACAGTTAATTGGAACTAAATGAATGGCTTACTCACAGTGCCCATTGTAGGACATGCCTGTGTTCCAGGGTAAATACCAGATAGTGTGAAGGTTTCTGCTGATACTTGTGTCTGTAGAAACCTGTTCTTCGGCCTGAGGGAAGAATTTTAGTCAGGTGTGAAAACTTTGCGAGAAGCTTGAGTGCACATGTGCTCTGTAGTGCTGTAGGATTGCTCCTGTGTGTCCCCATCACCCCTGTCTCTCCTTTCATGCCCTTGCTCTGTTCTCCCACCCTGGCGAGGCACAAGGACTCGCTGCACTCAAAGTCACAAAACTCTGGCTTTTGRTAAGTGGGGGAGAGTTTGTAGTTCAGGGAGTTAAAGTGTCCTGTCTCTTTTTRCAAATCCCAGGGAAGAAGAACAAGCTGAGGGTGTATTACCTGTCGTGGCTGAGAAATAAAATTCTGCGCAATGATCCAGAGGTGGAGAAGCGGCAGGGCTGGGTGTCTGTGGGTGACCTGGAAGGCTGTGTGCACTACAAAGTCGGTAAGCATTTCCTGGTTTTCCCTTAGARAAGCTTAATCATCCTCATTTTGCATCTTGTGACAGCAGCATTTTCCAGCTTTGGGGACTGTGTTGGGCTGAATATCTCATGAGTTCTTCCAACACTCCCTGTTTTCACATGGCAGATGCTTTGCCCCCCCGTTATTCCAGGTAGCATTTCCTCTTGCAGCAGTTACTGGATGATGCTGTGGCTGTTCCCTGTCGTGGCTGGAAGGAAGGAGTGCCAGCCCTGGTCTGTGCTCAGTCAGTGCTTTAGTTGTTCTGTACTTAGCTCAGGTTTTAATTGAACGGATGCTTTCCACCTCCTCATTTCCTGCTTGGCCCTGGGTAACTGCTGAGAAACTGGACCCAGTTCAGTGAATCCTCTTTGTGGGATGTCTTTAGGCAGATCAGCTCATCCCTTTCTCTCTCATGAAAGACCCAAAATACCTTTGTTTAAGCGCCTTGGAAATGGTACCATCCTGCTCTTCTTTGCCTTTCAGGCGGCTCATTCTTGAAGGTGAACATGGGGATTGGGATCATTTCTGTCATTTAACTGTGGGGGTCAGATGTATGGCCCAGTTTTGTTTTCAGAAGGGATGTATATAAAAGGGGCAGTTTCTTTGGAGTCAAATAGAGCCATGATACAGAGGAGTGCAGGAAATGTGAGGTGGCTGCCTCTCATGAATACTTTGCCTGTTTTGCCTTTTGGCTTTAGCAGTGGCAGGGGTTAAACTCACTAAAGAATGTGAAGCAGATGTGTGKTGTTACTTTAACTGTGATTACAGCTAAGCACCCACATATTCCACTTCAGGTGCTCATGGTTGGGTTTGGTACATTTCCTTTTTTTAAAAAAAAACCAAGGTACTTATCCTAAAATTAGGCAAACGTTTGGTAGGAGCTTCTGTGTTTACACATGACAAGCCACTCTTGCTTTTTTGACAGCWCAGCGGCTGCTGTTTTTCTCTTGGTGAATCTTTTTGTATCTTAACCTTTGGCTTTACAGCCATTTGTCCAGGTAGAAAAGGAAAAGRATGTACTGTTCTGCATTTTGTTGGAGTTTGCTGGGTTTTCTTGCTCTCTGCCTATGTGGGATGGCATCCTGTTTCCAAAGCTTGTCTCTGGCAGAGTGAGAACACAATGCACAAAGAAACCTTAATTTTCAATGCATGAGTCTGCATTTATTCTCAGTGGGCCCAGCATGACCTTAATTGTCTTGGAGAAATTGCTCATCTCTTAAATGCTTACTCATCTCAGAAAGATGGGAGTCCTTCGCCCACACAGCACCTGGGGATTTAACCCACAGCTGAGCAGTGAAATGAAAACTCAGCTTGCCAAGTCCGACACAATTGTTCAGCCAAACAACCACCAGTCCTCCAACAGTAGCTTRTTCATAACCAGCAATGGTGGGGTGTATTCACACTTAAAAATCAAGTAGGTTGGTTTAGCTGCAGGGTCAAGACAAGTGAGATTTATTATTATTTTTTATCAGCACATTAAAAGGAATATATAGATATTGTTAACAGTCATTTGGCTTTACTGAAAATAAATGAATTACAGGTTTCCAGTCAAGGTATTGTCACTGRTGGTATTAAACATTGATGTTCAGAATGCATTAGTCTCCCTTGCTGGATAATGTCTACCTCTACAAGTAATCCATTGAAATTATTTCATGTGATGACAYGGTCTTTGATTTAAGTGTCTGTCTGGTACCTAAGGAATTGTTCTTCTTGTATTACAGTAAAATATGAGAGAATCAAATTCCTTGTAATTGCTTTGAAAAACTCAGTGGAGGTTTATGCCTGGGCTCCAAAGCCTTATCACAAATTCATGGCTTTTAAGGTAAGTGAAACATCACTTTGGTTCAGATGTGTCACTGTCTCTCATTGTCTCTCATCTATTCTCTGCTTTTCTTTGTTGTTGTTTTGTATAACATTTATTGTAGTTAAAGATGAAATGAGTATTCTTTGAAAGAAAATGTAGCTCATTTGACATCCTTTGGAGATGGCAGGCATGAAACTGTCACAGTCGTGAGTGTTAGATGTAACTTGTTTCTCTCTACCCCAGCCAAACGCAGCACGTGCTGTGCCAAAATGTTCATTTGAATTCACAAAGTTGATGTTGATTTCCCTCAGAAGGGGAGAAATTGAACACAATGGTACTCAGCCTAATTTTTGTCTAGTCCATTTCTAGAATCTTGATTTGTGTTTCAAACCACAAATTATCCAACTGTCCTTGCAACTCAGTGGATGACAGATACTTAGCTCCTTAAATGTAACCTRCTATTTAACAAAAATAGCTAACTTTTGAGAATTCTTAGTATCCTAAATSTAGTTCTGTAAACCAACAGCTTTACTGTGTTACATATTGCATTTTTCTTTTTTCCAGTCCTTTACCTCCCTTCATCACAAACCACTGTCAGTTGACCTGACTGTTGAGAATGGGCAAAGACTGAAGGTCATATATGGCTCAGTAGTGGGATTTCATGCCATTGATGTGGACTCTGGATCTGTGTATGACCTGTACCTTCCCACACACGTAAGATACTCCAAAAAAATTACATTAATGCCCTTCTTTGGGCTGTATATTGATGATTATCAGGTTAAGAGTTGTGCTGTTTTTCAAAAGAATAATTAGTGGCAGCTAATACAAAAGCACTTTTCAYATAGTTTATAACACTGAAGGCCTGTTTAAATGCTTTTATCACATTTAGAATATCAGTTTTAGTGGTTTAATGTCAGAAAGCCTATTGTATGGACAGTACTGTTTTTTAATTGTTTTATCCTGTAAATTTAGGACTTAAACAAAGACACAATAATATCTACCTATTAATTTAGGTGACTTTTACAATCTGCCACAGTGCAGACTTTGCAGAAACCAACTTCAGACTAAACAAATTTGCTGATCTTCTTGCCATTCAGTTGCCCTGAAACCACTGTGTAAATTCAGAAGTTGTTTTACATTTTCCTCCAGACTTTCTCATTAGATTGTCAATAAGTTGGCATGAAGGGGTTGATTTCAGGCTGGTGTGTACATCCTGCATTGTGTCTCTGTGATGAGGTGATGGTGATCAGTGAAATCCTGCTTAAACTCAGATAACAGCAAATTCCCCTGCAGAAGTGAACAGCTAGCATGGGGCTGTCCATATGAATTCTATGCCATGGGGTTAGTATTTTTTGATTTTTGTTAATTTGCKTATATTTTAGTTGTTGTAGATCTTTTCAAAGCTGTGAGTCCCAAAAGCCAGAGAATATTGGGRACTTAGGTTCAGAAATCTGGCAGGTTCCAGACTGGTTCCAGTCTGATGGGAGGCTCCTGMCAAAGAAACTTCTGTGCACACTTGAACCCTCCCTGAAGTCAACAGTGCTCCATCCACAGGGGCCCAGGGTGCCATGGCCTCCTTGCATCCCCTGGCCGTGTGTCCTGAAATTATGCTTGGGAGCYCTGAAGAAATCTCATCCCAGATCTGCATGTTGCAGCCTGTGCCATGAATCCATCTGTTTTTTAACTTTTCTCCACTCTCAGCCCCTTGTTTTCAACCCAAAYGAAAACCCACTCCTCCTGTGCAAGCCACTTGATTACTCTGCTGCCCCTGCAAGCCACATCCTCCACATCTGTGTTCCTGATGGACACTGTTTGAGGATGGCTGTTAGATTTATAAACTTTCCTTAACTGAAAAATGACTTCTCTGGATGTTCTAACTGTTGAATCACCCGCTGAAGGCTTGTACTGTTTTTTTTCTGTATTGGGTTTTTTCAGGTACTTGGTATTTTTCTTGTTTGAGGGTTTATTTAATCTGGCAGTTAGTAGCTTTGTTACCTATGTAGCTCAGATGAATTCACAGAAGTTTGTAAATTGAAGTGTGGTGCCCACGTGCCTTTCTAGAAGTGGGTTGATGAGCAAGGTGAGCAGTCACTTGTCAAAAGGATCATTAGCATAATTGCCCAAGAGAAAAAAGGCAAAGAAAAAGTGAACCTTCTTAAAGGCTTTAYTTCTTCAACAGGCTGCAAATACAATTAGGTACCTGATGAGAGAGATTTCCCAAGTGACTGCCCTGAATATGTGGGGCACCTGAGACTGACTGCGTTTGTGTGAGCTCTTCAGCCACAAGTTAGCACAGACTAAAAATATATTTTCCCTTCAGAGTCTTAGACCTGGAATAAATTGGCTACTACWGCGACTCTCTCTTTTTTGGTATTTCATGATTTTAAAGAGCATCTGCTAGAACTGGATAACTCTCAAGGAGCTTTGTGGTGGCAATAGCCCAGACTGTAACAGGCTGACTTGAGATACTCTTGCTTTCTGGTAGCCTCTTTTCCTGGTTCCCCACCTCTTTCTTCATCTCTTACCTGCTCCGGTCGCTCATGCGAGTCCCAAGGCAACGCATTAAAATTGCTCTGCGGCTCTGGATCCCCGTTCTAGTGTTACGGATAGTTGTTGCGGAGGCACGGAGTCAAGTGGGTGGCCTGAGTGTATTCAGTTTGGCAAGTACAGCTTCAGTGCTTCTTTTACTGTTTGTTGTGCCCTTACAGTGTGCATAAATGTCTGTGCTTGAGGAAGAAAAAAGACTTGTGTGTGGCTGGCTTGTGAGAATGATGTAAAGCTCCAGGCATATGCTTCCTATGAAAATATTAATTGTGGTGGCTTAATTTACTATTAACATCCTGTTTTGAGTAGCGCTTTAAACAAGGAAATGCTTTGTTACTGTTTTTTTTAAGGCTGACTCCTTTTCTTTCAARAATGCTCTTGTAAAACCCCACCTTCATGGTTGTATACTTCAGCTTTGGTTTTGTTTTCTTTTGCTTGGGACATGTTGGCTTCTGGGAGAGATTCGTGTGAGTGAAATGTGCTGTTCCTGTGGCATGCAGAGGTGTGCCCAGCAGCAGTCAAGGGGGCAGCTATTTGTAGGGAAGGATGTGGGAAGGGAAGCACAGAGTGAAAAGGTCCAGGGAACGTTTTACAGCAAGGTGAATTTGTTAAATTTGCAGGTTTTAACTTGTGATTGGGGATGGGGAATATCATGGAAAGTGAAAGCACTGATCTCCTGGAATATGGAAGTTTCTGTTCTTCCTCCATCTTCTGAAATAGTTGCAAATTCAAATTTATTTCACCTTTATTCTGTTTATATAATGCAAATGTTTTGTGAACAACTAAGTAAATATTATTGTGTCTCAATGGCTCCATGGCTTCTTGAAACCAATTAAGAGTGGTAAATGTAAAGTGAAATATTGAACATTGATTTGTTTGCAAACCTACTGTCATATTCAAAGGGGGGAGAAGGGTAGAAAGTCTGTTTCAGAGGCTTACTAGCATACTGTGCAGCCTCTGAGAACAGGCATTTCTTTCACTTTCCATGAGCCATGAGCTAGTTCTTTTTATAACTCTGCCAAGCTAGTTAGATTGATGTCATCACTGAAATTGCAGTCCATGTTCTGATATAAATCTTGGTAAAATGTGATTGTAGATCCAGGGGACAATTCGCCCACATGCCATTATCATCCTCCCGAACACCAGCGGGATGGAACTCCTGCTCACCTATGAAGATGAAGGCATCTACATTGATATATACGGACATTTCACAAAGGAGACTGTTCTACAGTGGGGAGAAATGCCAGCATCTGTAGGTATGGATGAAAAATAGCTCTTTATTAAGTATAAGATTCTGTTGCGTGAAGCCTGACTTCTTTATGAGGTTTGTATCTATGTGGAAATGGTTGTATGGCACATAAAGCAGCTTCTGAGCAAAGCAGATGTGTGAAAGAGTAAACAGATTTATGGKTGTTTGTGTTAACACAGCCAATGATTGCAGTAGGGACTTCCCATTTGGATCACAGTCTGTATTCTTGTCACACTGTTTACTGCATCACACATGGACTGTACAGACAGACTTCACTGAGGATGCAGCTTACCACCAGTTTTCATGGGGAGGATTATATGAATTACAGAGGTGAAAAAGTGCTTTGGTCGTTCATAGCTCACAGCGTTTTATGGAGAAATTCACAGCTACAGARGGGTCAGTTACTGAGGAGATCTGTAACTGCTATCAAATGGCCCCTTCATTTCATCACTTTAAATGCACAGGGCAGCCAGCCCAGGGTATTTGTGATAGATTCTTAAGCTCCCCATGCCTGCAGTTGGCTGTGTAGGAGGAGATTCTGGTTGTACTGGAGCCAGGACAGCTGTTTGTTTCACCTTTCCCTTAGGGCTTCRAGCTAACAGTGTGGGGAAAAACAAGAACAACACAGGCAGATTTTTGGGTTTATTGTTACTTTTCATTCCTGTTCTTCATTTTAAAACATACCAACAAACAAAACAAACCCAAGACAATTAGACTGCACAGAAGCATGTTATTAGTTTGGAAGAAACTGGGTACTACAGTGAAAAGTCAAGGATGTTCAGGTAGGAAAAGCCCATCTTTGGGATGTGGTACAAACCAAATTTGACTTCTGATTGGAATCAAATTTCCTCTCAGAACTAACCTACCCATAAACACAAAGTCAAACCTTACATAAGGACTTCTGTTAACTGTTATTTTAGTAATTTTACTGCTAAGTACTATTAACTTCCTTAATACTTCGATATCCTTGGCTGCAGACAAAAACATTGAGAGAAGTGTGAATAACTGTTTTTTGAATGGCCCATCTTAGGGGCAATTTGACAGTTTCTTAAAATCCCTGTTTTCCTGGGATTTTTAGACCCATCTCAGACCTCCTGAAGTCTGTGTAAGCTTATGCCAGTTTTCACTCKGTGTTGCAGAGATAGAGGGTCTTGTGTTACTCTCAGGGTGCTCTCTAGTCATCCTTTGCTCATTCCTTGATTTCTTTAAACAAGTACTTTGAGAAAAACTTTTGCAGTTGGTGAGAGTATTTGGATACAAAAAATAAAAAAGTTTGTATTATAATCGATGGATTTAGGGCAGGGAATCTAAATATATCTTATTCATAGTCTTAAATTGGGACCTCTGTGACCAATCTGTTAATAAGAAATCGGAGAGAGAAAGCTTAAATCCCATGGGAAATTAAAATTGTAGAAGTATTCTATGTTTAATTTGAAGGATGTACACATATGTAGGGCTAAATATAAATATAGCTGTAATATTTTTTTTCTATAAAATAGGTTTTAAAAAGGCATTAAGAAACATCAAGTTAATAAGATTTGGGAGCACTCTTGCCCTTTWGTGTGAGTAATGAATTATTTAGAGTATGTAGCCATATAGGGCTGACACAAATCTGGATATTCCCAGAGGAACCAGTAAAAGTCTTTATGGCCTTTTCCCTGTACATTTTAGAAGCAAAAAGAATATTCTGTGGAGAAATGGTGTTACCAAAACGTGGTTAAATTTCTGCCTCAACAACACACCAGCTGGAAGTGTAGGATATTTTTATCTAAAGCTGAGGTGGAAAGTGGACTCAAACTAACTATTCCCAAGTTCCTCGTAGTATAGGAGCTATTGTTCCAAAATAAGATGACTTTATTCTGAGTATCTGCTCTCAGTTCATCTCACTTGAAACACCTCTAAGAGCTCCCACATGAGAGGATTATCATGGCTCAGTACTGACCTTTGAATTCCCAGCCCRCTATCCTCCAAATTAATCTCCAGGTATAGACAAGTCCTTATAACTGGACAGCCCTGCAAATATTGCAGTGAGGCCATTTTGTTTGCATGTTGTTTCTCAGATGAAATTTAGGAATTTTTTGATTGTGCTACAAGACTGATTTTTTTTTTATGCTACACATACTTAAGCCTGCCATTGTCTGTTGACAAGTTCTGGGTACGATGGCCAGACAGCAGAGCATCAGGGCTGAACTTGGCATATCTGGTTTATTATGTTCCTGTTTGAATAGTGCCTGGAGGTCAGATCTCTTCAGAACACAGCAGAAATGGCCCAGCAGGTGATGTGGGTTGCAGCAGAGCCTAATGAAGTGGTTACTGGGAGCTGCAAGGAAGCTGTCAAATTGAAACCTGCCAAAGGCACAGATCCAGACACAGCATAGTGACACCTGGAGTGTAGATTTCATATAGTGGAAAAGATCAGGAGACTTATCAGTTCTTTGTTGCTAGACCTACATGACCTATACTAAASAGTGTAGCCACAGAGCGATTTCATGCTGTTTATAAATACGCACCTGCCTTGCTTCCCACCCTAGAACCACAGGGTGCCTCTGTCTCTGTTGTGTTCAAAAGTAAATTTGAAAAGGATAATGTCATGTCAGTTGGTACAAAAAGTAGTAAAATACTTACAATTGTGTTATTTTTATCTTCCTCACTCTATGTGTGGTCTGGGCTCACTTTTCATATTCTGCAGACTGCCCTGGGTAGATGCTGCCCTGGGCTCATCCTGTTGTTGCTGCATTGCTCAGAAATGTTAATGACAGTCTTCCCCACAGCCTACAGCAGTGATGCCTTGCAGTTCAGCCTAGGAACTGAGCCATAAAGAACAGACTTTAAAATACATTTTCATGTTTGAATTGTAGAAAATCTCTCCTCCTCTTTTGCCACTTTCCCTCAGTTGCTCACTGCTGCTTCGCTTTTGAAACACGTTGGTTTCTTCCTCTTTGCTCATGGCTGGAATACTGGGAAACAATTATCTTGCTCTCAGCACTAGTGGCAGGGAAGCCTTCAGTGTGCATAGAGTAACTGAAAGTCTTTTGAACAGATTTAGGGGAAATTTATAGACTCTGAGGAAACCAAAATCACAACACTGTAACCAAACCATATGTGTTTCCAAGGAGGTATGATTTTCATACATTTGTTGTAACAACAACTATAAAGCAAGGCTTCCAAGTTAATATTAAATCAACCCTGCTAAAAGTGTGTGCAGTCATGTGGGCATATTGCCTTTATTTTCTSCTGTCCTTCTCAAGCAGGATTGCAGGCTGTTGCTTCTGTATCAGTCTGTACTGAAAGTTTAATTTTTAGACAAAAACCTAAACCAACATGGAAGGTTTTAAGAAGCAGACCTTGCTCACACAATAATGTCGGGCAGGCATGCACTGTCCACTGAAGCTAAAAGCCAGTCCAGTGCACACGTTCCCTCTACATTATTTCAGAGCACCAGAATTCWCAGACTAATGAAATAACAGTTGATAGTTGAGCAAGAAGAACAGTTTCTGAGCATTGACTACCAAGAGAGCATAACTAATGTGATTTTACCTTGGGAGCCCATATAAGCACTAATCAGAGGGCTTCCACTGAAACTGTGCCTAATTTGAAATCTGTGGTGTTAACTCCTTCATTACTATTCCAATTTTTTTTATTGCCAGATTTAAAGGGAGTATTKTAGTAGGCTTCCACAGTGCTGGAATATCTTCTTCTCATTTTGCAGATATTGCAYATAACCAGTGATGGGAAGACACCAAATTAATCATGCCATAGCCTCAGATTCTAAACTATTTAGGTTCATATATGAACTCCATAGTAAATACAAACCCAGCTTCCTAATGGGAACAGAGTACAGTGGATACTGAGAAGACAGTCAAGACTTTTCTTGCATATGGGCAGTTAAAGGATGAGAGGCAAAGATGGGCTCAAGTTGCACCAAGATATTAGAAAGATACGTTCAACCTTGAAAGTAGTGATGCATTGCAACAGRGTCTTGGAAAGGTTGTGAAATATCCATCAAACCATGTCTGGACAAGGTTCTAAGTAACCTTGTCTAATTTGGTCTGCTTTGGGACTGGTGGTTAAACAAGATGCCCTTCAGGTTTCCTCGAAGCTTTTGTGAGTCTTAAGATCCACAATAATAGTTAAGATTTATGCCTATTGTTCAAAATTGAGTTCTCCTCAAAATGGGAGGAGAAACTGAAATTTAGTTACTATTCCCAAGGCTTTTTGTGTAAACTTAAAATACAAATAATTCAGAATATATTGTTATCAAAGTGAAATGCATCAGATCCATAATTAACATAAATGAGGCAAGAATCATTCTTTCAGCTGTTAAATATTGTCAACTTTTTTCTCTTTTTTTCCTTTTAGCTTACCTTCAGTCCAATCAGGTCATGGGCTGGGGAGAAAAAGCGATTGAACTACGTTCGGTGGAAACAGGAAATCTGGAAGGAGTATTTATGCACAAGAAAGCACAGAAACTAAAATTTCTTTGTGAAAGAAATGACAAGGTACAGAGATGACTACAATGTGRTGATTTAGCAAAAATGAGTAATAGCTGACAGTGACAGACCAGTTTATTTTTACAACTTTGATATCAGTTATTTTCTACCCTGGTATAAGTTCCCCGTTCAAAGCCAGAGTAGTCATTGATCCCACAAAGTGCTCACTGTGGATGTTCCACACTCTCCCACCACCAGCTCTGTTYGAATTCTCTATTCCACCCAGCCTTCACTGCTGTAAGTGATAACAGAGGCATTGGGAACTGCCCAGTACCACAGGGATAGTGGGGAAGGGTTAGTGAGGCAGCCCCAAAAATTCCCAGCTGCAGCACTGCCTCTCCTGGGCTACTGAAATTACAGGCAGTTCTGAGCAGTTATAATGGGGAAAAAAAAATCCTCAACACTCTTAATTGCAGACACCAGGCTATGGATAATCAGTATGATTTCTTGCATGTATCAATTTTGATAAATGTTCTCTGAAATCTGCTTAGTCCCACTGTCATATTTAGAAAACTGAGRCCCCAAAACCTTGGATTAATTATTTTTAAATGTTCTCCTATGTCTTTTCRAATAGGAAAAGAAATAYATATAGAAAATTCAGKTGTACCACAAATACASTTTCACTTYAAAACGTTTCTCATGGGATTAAAATTCAATTGTGATATATGTATATCCTTGTATTTGGGACTGTGGCATTCTATCACTTTTCCTATATGAGTAAAAATATATTCATAAATATAAACTGACAGTAACATCTCTTTTTTTCTTCTTCTTTTTTTCCCCTTTCAAGGTGTTCTTTGCATCTGTACAGTCAGGAGGCAGCAGTCAAATATACTTTATGACTCTTGGTCAAAATGTACTATTCAACTGGTAAAGCACATCAAAATGAAGAAAATGAAAAATTCCCTGTAGGTAGCAGTGTAAAATTSTCAGAGGTAATACACAAAAATTTGCACTTTTTGCCTACAAAAATGTTGTCATTATTGACTTATCAAAATTCATATTCTTTCAGTCTGGAAGGAATTCCATTTTCCTGTTGAAGTATTGCAAACATGTTTAGTTTGTCTTCCAAAGTACGTTGCAAACCAAGATTGTATTAGGAGACTTWAATGAAGAATGTAGCCAATACAAGAAGCTCCTATACTCTGAAAAGTGTACGGTTTCATTTTTACAGATGATGCAATGTTGTTATCTTGAACTGAAGTCTCTTTTTTGGACYGCAACACCTGCAGGTAGATACAAAAGCACAGTTAGGATCTATTTTGAATCGGGTTTGGGTTCATTTTGCAGTTTAAGCAAGCTGTTGCTGTGTCACCAAGATGAACTTGAATGACTTGTGCAAGTCTTACAACACTGAAAGAGTGACTCTTTCTGGTGAGTCCCAGTGCAGACCAGGAGGTTTGAGGAGTCCTCCCCCCTTGGACCTTGAGGGATCATCCCCTCTGCTGAGTKGACAGGTGTGTTTCAGTACAGAGTTTAAAAACAGTTAATTCTGAACATGTGCCCCATCTGAGARATTTTTACAAATGCAGGGGACAGACTTTGTGTTCCTCTCAGGGCTGGATGCCTGAGCCCATAGACACAGTTACTGTAGAATGTATTTGTAAAAATATTTTAAATAGTCTGTCAAAGCCATAGATGCATAGAGCATTATGAATCAGAACTTGTAACTTTTATTTACACCTGGGACCCACACTCATACAAATTGATTTAAAGGCACTACCCATGTATATAAATAAGGGCACAAGAGCAAGCACCTTCTTTTCTTCCTTCTTGCTGTTTCACATCAATCTTTGTGTATTTGTATGTAAATATAATCTTTCCACAATGGATGTTAAGATTAACAAATGTATACTTAATATAGTTATGAAAATATCCAAAGAGTTAATCTATTATAAATAGAAAATATAAATAATTCCAGGTGCTTTCTATGCTAATTACATCTAAATAAAGCTGCGTCCACTAGTGTTATTGGTGCCAGTGTTTCTGCATAAACTCTGTTCTCAGGGGCTTATAAATTGGCCATAAAATTATAGAGATATAATATATATATATATATACTATATATAATCATATACTATGATTCAACTGTAGGGTTTAATGTACTCCTCATTTAGCTGATTTCTGGATGTGCTTTGAAATTGTAAAGCATCAACYGTAATACAAAAGAGCTCATTCCGGRTGTGACACGGTAGGGATGATGCTRTGGACAAAAGTGAAATCATTAGTTACAGTGCTTGAAAATAGGTGGCTTTTACTTGAAATATTTGATACTGAAAGGTGCAGGGAAAGTGTGTTGGAATATCTGGTCGTCTACCTCAAGGATGATAATTCTGTGTTGACTCAGAGGGCAGAAATAGAGCTGTTGGACTGTCGCTGTGCTGTCCAGTACGTCAGTTCAGGTGTTGGCAGTGATGCTGTGACTGACAGGTGCTCAGAACTGCTGTCCCTGTGTGTGTCAGCAGGGAATCAAACCAGGGCTAATCACCCTTCCTGTTCCCTGTGCTGGCTCCTCACTGCTGCAGCAGGTCAGAGGTGCCTGCACTGTTGCTGTCTATATTTTTGGCTATATGGAGGACTGCACTTTCCAAAGTTATTAACCTAGCACTTTTCACAGGCACTAGCTTATCTCAAAATGTATAGTGTTTTTYAATGAAGTATTTTCCTTTTAAATGTTTAACTAACAGAAAAAAAAATAAGCCTAAAGCCATGAATATCTGCASTTAAATAATCAAAATGGTTCTTAATGTATGTGAGTAATTAGCTTGTGTGCAGACTGGAAACCTGAACAGAAACTGCTTGGCCAGATTTGACAACAGGAGCTCTGTCTGGTTGTAGTGATGTCCCTACTTGTTGCCAGGGCCAGGGCTGGGGCAAATGAGCAAAACCTGGCTTGGCTCCCTATGCTGCTGAACACTTGGGCTTGTTTCATTTGACTTTCACAGAACAAACAGAAAACAAAAACTCCACCAACAAAACCAAACAAGCCCAAATCTATAACAGAAAGAGACATGAAAGTTACAATTACTGGCAAAAACTAAGTTGTAAACAATCCACTTATAAGCAATTTGCTTTTGACTTAAAAGTCTAAAAGACTGTGAAGGAAGAAGAGCTTTCATTTTGCACACAGTAGGTGTGCAAGATTTGCAAAACTGCTCGTGCTATAAGCAATCAGTGATCCAGRGTGCCCTGTAATATTTTTTAAGTGTGCTGATATCAGCAGCTTCTGCATTAYAGGGGATGCATGTCAATTTTTTCCCTTCCCTGTTCTGGTGTCAACARGTAGGAGGCAGATATTTTCCTGATGACAGAGACTAGTTAAAAAGAATTTAGCAAAGAACAGTGGGAATTTATAACAACAACCCATATCAACAGATTAAAAAAACAAATGCGATATACTTGTTTAAGCTTACTGTAGCAGAAAATTGTGACAATAAATTGAGACACTGTGAAGATAACTCCATACTAAGAGGGAAAAARCCCAAACAATCCCAACTTCAAGAGTAAGAATGTGCACTATTACACTGGGATTGTAATTTTTCATTTCCCTCTATTAGCTCTTTCTTCTTTCTAGCTACAATTCAAGGCAGTGGGTTGGATTTTCATTTTCTATTCACTGTARAGAAAAACCATTAAAAACTATTGGAATTTTTGGGGTTACATCCATGTGTAATTATGGAAAGAATGCTTAGAGGCCCTTAGAGGTGAATGCTTTAGAAGGATTTAAAAGTGGCATTGCAAATAGCAATAGCAACTGGATGCAACAAGGAGGAAACTCTGACATAGTTTCTCTATCAAGAGACAGTAAGAACGGTTGAAGATGAGAAAGCCCAGAAATGTTGAGAGGAGTAACAGAAGAGAGGGGAAGTGACTGAAGCAGAGGGAAGAGCTGAAGAAAATAAACAGGAGTAGCCAAAGGGGAGGGAGTGGATGTCTGGCACAGCATAATGCTGATGGAGGAATACAAAGAGTTAAAAGAGGTTAAGGAAATAAAGGAACCAAAGAAATTGAAAGRTATCTGGAGTGACTGGGGGGCATCGAAGGGAGTATTTTGAATAACTGTTCAGCTGAAAGCAAAAGTACAAAGGCTAGAAGAAAACAAAAATTGAGTAATCCAAGGTTCTCCAGACACAATTTTACCTATGCAAAATGTGTATCAGATTTGTAGTTTCCTTTTGTGAGGTGTTTCATTAGCTTTCATTAACTTTTAAAAGCAAGGAGTGAAGTACTTATTGTGTTTTTCTAGTGATGTCACTTTGACATGAAAAAATGCTACAGGGGCAGAATGTGAAGGATCCATGTCAGTAACCCTTTGGTACATGCAGTCTCCTAATGGCACATGGTGCTCACAACGTTGCATTTGGGACACAAGATTGTGCTGATGCTGCAGCAATGTAGAACTGTGTGTATGTGCCTGCTTTCATTTTAGGCATGGTGAACTCTCTGCTGCAGCGTGAACCTTGGCACATGCCTTTAAAACCTGGGAACAATTCAAGTTATGTACTGTATACTATGTATTGTTCTCTAATGTTGAAATTGTACAATTGAAACAGTAATAAAAATACTCTGAAAATCAAAACTAGTATCATGCTTGTAGTGATTCTGTGATGTTGACATCAGCTATTGTAAAAATCATAGGAACCTTTGTTTTCCTATTGTTTTCCAAATCCAGTCATTATGCTTTGGGAAACATCCATACCTGCCTAAAGGGACAAACAAATATATATCTTTGTATGGATAAAGATGTCCAAGTGGCTTTGTGAGAGTTCAGCCTGGACAGAGTGCTCCTAAAGGGGAAAGCCAGTGCTGTGCTGTGTGTGCTGCTAATGAGCTGCACTGAATTTCWGTGTGTCTGCCYTTCTCTTTACACAAACACSCAGTGGGATGAGGGCASTGGAACTACAGCRRAGTAACAGTTTGTAGTCATGATGCTACAAGAAGTGGCTTTTATGCACATWAGCTTGAGTGCCAGGTTAGCCCAAGTCACTTTTTCTCAGATAAGCTCATGCAGTCTTTATTGCCACTGGAATTGTTTCTCCAAAGACCATCATACAAGCTGGCTTAGAAGTTCAATTCCACATTTAAATATCTGTATTTAAGTTAAATGAAGCATAAGCAAACCTACAGCCTATATAAAAGACTTGTATAGATTTTAAAACCTGTGCAGTAAGTCAAAGTTCCACACACCAAAAGTGTAAGAAATCTTCCTACTGATAGCCCACCACTTTCTTGAACTGCTCTTCAAATTTCAGAGAGCTGATTAAAGGGCAAGGAAATGTCAGTTGGGTAATCACCAAAAATGTTATTTTAGCATTACCTGCTTCCTGTTATTTTTGAGGAAGATTTAACAACAGCACCCAGGAAATAATGGTGAAATGCATCAAAAGAATTTTCTATTTTTGTCCTCAAAACACCTCGTAGTGAACACTTTTACAGTAAGTTTTATGGTCTTATATACCAGCTGATATTTTTTTAATCTAGATCATCACCTTTTATTCTTTTGTGCCTTTTATTTCTCCAACATGCTTTAAATGTAATATTTAATAGAATGTAGTAACATCCTCCTGTTCAGCATAGCTCAGTCCTCACTGTCACTGCTGTAAAGGCTAACTGCTGTTTACTTAAGGTGTGTTGTATACAAAAACTGAGATACTTGACTGCTGCTTATCTCTGAGAATTTGAGACTATTGACTGACCAGAAGTGAACACAAGTATAGTTCATCAAACTTGGTTGTAGGCATATAAAAATCACATTGTCTTCAATAAGCTGCTTACATGCCTGATGAAGCAGGCTCAGCATAACACAAAGCTCTCAATTTTTGTGATGTGATACAGCCATCTGCTGATGGCTCATCTCCAGTCATTACTGATTCTCCAAGAGTTCCTGAACTTCAGTTTCTACTATAATCACTGTTCAGGTGTTGTAGGGAAATCACATCTAGAGGAACTCACAGACATACCCAGTCTTTAAAACATGTTGTTGAATATGTTGTTAAAACACGCTGTCAGCAACAGATTTACCCTGTTACAGTTTTGAAATGGTAGGTTAGCTGGACCTCTGCTGGTTAGAAAGAAGGCAGCAGGAGAAAGTTGTTAAGGAACTGTCTTTTGTCTGAAACGGCAATGAATAAAGATTTATCCAATATAAAGTATTAACTCTGCTATCAGTCCACATCAGTCCATTATCACTTCACAAAACTCCAGCTTCAGTGAGTGAMATCCCAGTGACTTACAATAACAAAAAATCTGGCAACAGATGCACATGTAACAATCATCTCTGTGTAAACAAGGTTCTTCTGAAAATCACATCATGAGCACAGATAGAAGATAAGCTGGGAACAGTCCGTAGATTTCCTCATTATACCTACAGATTCATTTAATAACTAAAAAATGAGTTCACCACAGTTCTCCAGGTAAGGCTTGTATGTGATGTGAAGCCAATTCCTCTGCAAGCTCAGTGAAAAGGTGTTTGGGTCATTTTTTTTTAAAATTAAAAATGCCATTTTATCAGTCCACACAAGAAGTCATGTTTACTGGGGAAGAAAGACACTACATGGAAGTTTCACCCAATACTTGGCTTCAACATAATACAAATTACTGATTCAAATTTTCTCAKKAAGGAATGCACTGTGACATAAAATACATAATCTCATATCATTCCTAGAGAATTCTAAAGGCCAGCAAAAGCTTGTGTCTTATACCCCTTTGTCTAGTTTTTTCAGTCTGTTTTAAGTAGTTCAGGCAACAGCTTTTCCAGTTTGCTCATGGCAAAGAGCAAAGCTTCACAGTAGCAAAGACAGCAGGCTAAGAATACAAATGTGCTCAAGCTGGAAGAACTGCTCTGGCCCAGCACCTGAGGCAGCTCAGTTCACATTYAGTCTTCTGGATTTCCAAAGCCTATCTGGACCAGTGGCACTATAAAGATGAAATTGCTGCTCTTCCTAGCCTTTCTTTTTACCCCRCCCTCCTCATTCTGTCCTGCTGGGGTGGGAGGCGATCTCTGGAGAACATTAGTCYAACASCCCTGCTAACGCAGGGTCACCCAGRGCAGGTTGCACAGGATCTCATCCAGACAACTTCTGGAGTACCTCCAGAGAAGGAGACACCACAACCTCTCTGGGCAGCCTGTTCCAGTGCTCTTCTGCCCTCAAAGTAAGGAAAATTTCCCTCCTATTCAGATGGAATATCTGTGTATCAGTTTGTGCTTGTTGCCCCTTGTCCTGTCACTGGGCACCACTGGAAAGAATCTGTTCCATCCTCTTTTACTCCTATCCTTCAGATACTTGTGTACATTGATAAAGTCCCCTTTCAGTCCTCTCCCGGCTGAACAAGCCCAGCGTCCTCAGCCTTTCCTCCTAAAAGAGATGTTTCCTCCAACAGAAAAAAAATACATAATTAGAAGGTGCTAATAAAGTACTGAATACAAAGTTCTTAATCTCTGTACTTTTCATGAATATCGTAAGTGAACTAGTGAAAGGTGTCCCTGCCCAGGGCAGGGTGTTGGAACAAGATGATCTTTAAGGTCCCTTTCAACCCAAACCATTCCTTGATTCTATGATAAAGAAGTTGATAGTTGCAGTGGGACGAGAATCAATAAGWAAGGTTACACACTTAGGAACTGCTAGTAAGATTTGTTTTCTAAAGTTGGAAACAACAAACTCAGTAAACTGTTTTAATGGCAGGTTGATTACAATTGCCTACACACTGCGACTACGTAAAAGCCAAATGCAACGTTAGGACCTGGCACAACTCTCCGAGCTAGGAACACACTGATGGTGAGGAAGAAGCAATGACAAGCGTTGTGCATCCGCTTAAACGCAGCCAGGAACAGGTGCAGCAGAACTGTCTACGGGAGGAAGCGACCGAGGCGCTGCTGGCTGCACGGGARCTGCCCAGGCTCCGCCACAATGCCCCGCCGAGGGCGGGTCGCCAGCCTAGCGGAGAACACTGGGCGCTGCCCGCCGCCGCTACCCGGCCGCTTATCGCCGGTCACCCCGCCGCCACCCCTCCCACCGCTTCCGCGGGCCTTATCTTCATCCCTGCTCCGGCCCGCAGCCGCTCTCCGGCCGCCACCTT